ATAGGATATGCCAAAGTATCACACTTTCCATGCCTTCAGCATGTGAGACAGTACCTCATATTTTTCCCAAGTTCTCAGTGTGTGGCTTGCAGTGGTTGCTTATGCCCATTGGGACTGGTAGGGTGGAAGGTAGGGAGGTCAACATGAGGTGGTGCCAGAGCAGTCAGTTATAGTGAGTATGAACAAAAATTACCTTCCTTTAAATTGCACTGGAAATTTTCCTTTGTCTGAGAGCCAGACTCTGCTTCTCCATCTCTCTCTTCATCTGGTTTCTCTGGGATCCCATACCTTGGAGCAGTGCTGTTTTCTAGAAAAAGAGGTGCTGGAACTTACCATGAACACCTCCCTTGTTCTCTTTTAATGGCAATGGTGCCCACCTGAGAGGTGCTGCCTTGGAGACACTTTCACATCACATTCCTGCCACCTCCTCTTCCTGCTGAGAAGTCTCACAATTGTCTCTCAAACTACCCATAGATGGAAGTGCCACATTAGATGCAACCTTCCTTTGATTTTTTTAAAGCATTAAACAATGATGCATTAAAAATAGAAGTTCTTAATTGTGAAATCACCTTGTCTTCCAGAATCTGTCTGTGGGTAGGGAAAGGCCATAGGGGAAGAGCTGTAGCTCAGTGCTAGAGCATTTGCTTTGCATGCAGAAGGTTGCTGGTTCAATCCCTGGCATCTCCAGGTGCAGCCGGAAAAGAGCCTTCCTGAAATTCTGGATAGCCATCTAGCCCAATGGTCTGACTCTGTATAAATCAGTTTCCTATGTACAAATATCTGTTTTTAATTCGTATAGATGTGACTATAATATTACTTTCTTATTGAATTGCACATATGATGTTGACCATCTTTGGCATATTGGGTTAGCTGTAGAGCAGGAAGCTTTGCCTGTCTGTCTTGCCACAAACTCTTGGCATGCACTTTTGTTATTCATAGTTAACGTATTCTGGCTAAGAAAATGTAAACCAAGCTGTTGGATAAGTACAAAAGAAGGTATATAGGTATAAATTAAAATAGGAAGTGTGTACCTTTTCTGTTGTTGCTAGGATCTTGAAAATGTTGACCCATTTTCCTGGTTGCTTGTAGCAAGTCAGAATCTTATCCTGACAACCACATAGGGAAGTTTTTATAAATAGGAAAAGAGTGGGTTCCATTTCCTTTAAAGTGATCAATGAGCCACAAACATCTAATAAAGTTATATGTTAGCAGGCAGACTTAGTAGAGGTAAGTGTCATTTATGGATTAGTTGCAAGGTGGGGTTATCTTTTCTTGCCAGAATGATCAGATAAAGAATAGTGTTGTTGCTATACACTGCATTAGAGAAAGCTAATTGACCAGCAGATCTACCAGCAGTGATAATGTCAGAAGATACCTTGTTAGACCCAACGGGTTGTATTCAGTGCTGTCCTTTCCCTTGCAGAAAGCTCTTTGATCCAGAAGGAAAGTGGAGAGGTGATTTTTGTGAATTCTCCTGCATCACTCTTCACCTTCCACACTGTTCCAGCTTTGGATACAATACTGTACTGGATATAATCTGAAGACAATGCACCTGCAGTTATAGCTGTAATAAAGTAGAATACTAACCGTAATTTCTGGTGCTTTAATGCCATACATTCCATGTTGGATCCCTGTTTTTTTTGGGGGGGGGAGGGTGGTGGTTCAGAACTGCTTGTTTTGCAGGCAATTTTCTGCACAGCGTTTGCCTTCTGACTGTGACTTCATTGCGTGGGACTGGTGGGTGGATTGTCTGAGATTCCATGATCTTGGCAGGCTGAGAAGGAAGTCTGAAATAAGGTTTTATGATGATGGGCTGGCAGCTCAGACTGTTCTAACCACTTCCATTTTCTGCTCCAGCTGCATGGTTTCCCAACAAATTGTGCTGTTGGCAACTGTGCCCACTCTTGCTCAAACAGAGCCCAGAAAGATTCTCGGCAGATGGAAATACCAGCACTGAGCAGGAGCAGCAGCTAGGCATGCCTCTCTATGTTGGAAACTCTGTTGTGCTGTCTGATTTTGCAATGTAGAAGCATTGTATTTACAGTGGGGAAGACTGTGTGCAGCCTCCAAGAGGGCTCAGGCTTTGAAGTGTCAATGAAATGATAGCAGCCTGGAGCTCTCCTGGGACACAGCTGGGTGCTCTGCAGCTGGTTTTACAACACTGTTCTGCATTATGCACTCTGTAGCTAATCTTACGCCACGCAGCGTAGCATATTGGTGGCTGGGAGTGCTCCCTGGGACACCGGATATGCTCTGGCAGCTCATGGAGACTTGCTCATTTTTAAAATGTCAAAATCTCTGTGTCTCTCTGTCTCTTTCCGCCTCACCTGTCCTTGGGAAAAATGTGTATACGCCAATATATGCAGAACACTTGGAACATATAATGGGCAGAGTGATGATACTCAACAATAGACATGTGTGCTAAATTGAGAAATATCATTCTATCCAAGTACAGTGGTACCTCAGGTTACATACACTTCAGGTTACATACGCTTCAGGTTACAGACTCCACTAACCCAGAAATAGTGCTTCAGGTTAAGAACTTTGCTTCAGGATGAGAACAGAAATCGTGCTCCGGCGGCACGGCAGCAGCAGAAGGCCCCATTAGCTAAAGTGGTGCTTCAGGTTAAGTACAGTTTCAGGTTAAGTACAGACCTCCGGAACGAATTAAGTACTTAACCCAAGGTACCACTGTATTTAACCATTTTACACAAGCTCCTAGTATTTTGACTTCCTGATAATGAGTTTCCTTTTAATGTGGTGACTATTAAGACTTTGTGACCTAGTTTGCATTATCTTAGTGCTATGCAGATGATTTGTCTTAGCAGAGTTGGCAAATACCGTACGTAAGCGGACTTCTACAAAAAAAATCTTTTCAATGCCATGCTCTTCGTCAGCACTGCTATCTTGTTTGAATCTTTTTTGAAATATTTAGTTTTAATAAAGCAGTCTTTCCTGAAAACACTGAGAGGAAGGAAGGCTTGAACCCACCTGAGGACACCATGATGCCAGGTGACAATTTCACAGGAAATAATTGGATGTGCCCATCTAGAGAGCACTTCTGATTCCCCCCCCCTTTCTTCCTTTGCATCCTGTCTTGAATTCAGTCTGGAGATGCAAATGAAGAATGTGAGCCCCGCTTGTGGCAGAAATTGACTCCATTTGGAATCTATGATTGGGAGCTTCTGAGTTGAGCCCATCCCAGGGGGCTTGCATAGGGAGCCAAATAAAAGTAAAAGGGGGCCTACATAGGAGCATTTAGGAGTGTGCCCAAACCCTGCCAATCGTTCCTTTGCAGCAGCAGGTCTGTAGGGCAGGTGGGCATAGCTGATGAAAAGCGACCTCATAGTTCAAATTAGGACCCCTGGCAGGCCTAAGTTTGGCCTAGGGGCCAGAGGATCCTTGTGCCTGGCCTAAATTAAGCAACAAATATTGTCACACTTCCTGAACTATTTCCTCCTGTTTGCTTTTCTATCTACTGTCTGGAATTACTGCAAACAAATTAAAATGAATGCAGTTCCTAACACAGTAAGAAAATGACAAAGGTTGGTAATCGTAAGAACTGGGTCCTTCTGCTTTTAAAAAGCACATTGCAGTATTTACGTCATTACTCAATTTGAGACATGCCATTCTCCCCTCCTAATATGCATGTGCTTATCATTACTTGTTTTAAATAAAATAATGAAATGCATACCATCATCTAATCTTCTTACTACTTTGATAGTGGAATATCAAATCCTCCAAAAATGATACAGTTTAGTTGCATTCAGCCATTGGTAGAAAGAATAATAGCCTCAATACATCTGTTTCATTTATTACTATTTTATTTTTTAGCCTGCTCAGTGAGCAGCTCCTCCAAGCATCCCCCCATACCATTTATTTACTCTATTTTTTATGTTTTTTTAAATAAAAAACATAAGTATTACTCAAAAGGCTTGTCTAGTGCTGCCCCTGCCACAGACCGCAGATAACCTTGGGTAGTTCCCATGTTGGAGATGGGAATGCCCCATCACTTGTCCCAACATCTGGTAACTTACAGAACATTATTTATTGGCTGGTGGACAAAAGGTTTGGCTCTCTGTGCACACAGCTGGAACTTTGATGGTATACGTACATACATGCATGGACAGACAGAACAATCCTGGATTCTGCTGGTAGCAATTTTGACAACACTTTTTCTAGTTGGTACAATGATGAATATAGACTAAGAACAAACAATAAAAATATATGGAGATGCAAATAATAAAAATAAAATTGTCCAGATAATTTGGGGCATAATATCTTGACAAAGGGAAAAGATATGAAAGATTAGTACAAGTTTCTGGTTTCTGAACAACTGTTTTTTAATGTAATATGACCCTGCATCTGTAGAGTACTGTACCTAACTTTTTAATTTTCCATGAGGGTGGGGGGAGAAAAAACCTGAAGAAAAGCTGCAAGTCACTTGCTATAGTTGGTGGCTACTGTTGTATTAATTGTATTAATCTATATGAAGATGGAACAATTGCTGTATATGGAGTGATCACAGGGACCTTAAACTGAGCCAGCAGTTTTCCTCCCACGCGTTCATTATGACGTATAGACCAAGGAGTGGAATGAAAGTGTAGCTCTTGCTTGCCATAGTGAACTATTTTTATTTATTTCATGACATTTATTTCCCTCCTTTCTTCCAAGGAATTCAAGGCAGCAGCCATAGTTTTTCTCCTTCCGTTATTAAACTCCCAGCCACCCTTTGATGATGTATGTGAGGCTGAGAGAGAGAGTGACTGGTCCAAGGCTACTCAGTAAACCTCATACACTCTAACCACACTGGTTCCCACTGAAGTCGGCTTAGACAGCTTGTGTGAAAGAGGGGTGAGCAAAGGCTACCCTGAGTCCTGCCAGAGAAAAAGACAGGGTATAAATAAATTGATGATGATGATGATGATGATGATGATAGAGACCCCTTTGGGGCCAAAATAACCATTCTTCTCAGTTCCATGTTTCTTTTCCTTTTCTAGGCTTGTCAACCTGGTCCCAACATTCTAGGTCTCAGCATCGGAGAAGTTCATGCTCTAAGCACGAAGATCGGAAACCATCAGAGGTATTCTCTTGATTAAATGCTCTTGCATCTTGCTGAAAGACAGATGTGTCTCCTTTTCCTAATACTTCTTTTTCTTTCCTTTTTCTGCTCCGTCTCAGCTGGCACCCAGCAACCTTTCTTCTGGCCAGGAGATCAGGGAGCTCAGCTGCTGCCACAGTCCCTGCCAGCATCAAGTTAGTTATTTAGCCGTGAATATTGGGTTAGTTTGGCACCAACCCAACCTAGTTTTTTTTTTAAATAGTCCTTTTCCTTTTCCTTTTCAAAAAATATATCGGGGAATATGTTTTGGTTTTTTTATTTGTGGTGAACAGTGAAAAATGTGTACTTAGGAGTGTTTCCTTAGTTTCCTAACCATTACGTGGCACTTATGAATAATAGTCCTTGTTCAGCAAAGCAGTCAAACCAGAAAACTTTGTCTCTTTGAGTGCTTCATCTGCATTGCTTTGAGAACAGATCAAAGGAGGAAATACAAATCAGTTTGAACTTTTCATGATGGATCACCAAGTGCAATCTGTTGCACGCCTTACAAATTGGCAGATGTCCTTTGAGCCAAATATGAGACTAGAAGAAAAGGGATATTCTTTGTAGGTTGAACTTCTTAAGAAGACTGTCTGGTTCATCATAATCAGATATCTTACATGTTCATGTTCGGGGTCTTGCCCTGGCAGGTTTCTAAATTCTTTATCCCTCGCTTGTTCATGCTCATGACTGTGGACAGTATAATCCTTTGGCCAAGTGAATTACTATGTATGGGTTGCCTCTTTTGTTCTGATGGTAGAAGCAATTCCATGCATGTATACTGGAGATGTAGAACCTTTTTGACACAGTGGACCAGATCGTTATTGCCCTATCCCTCAGCCCATGGGCCAACTTTGACATGTGAGTGGAACCACCCACTTATCATCTTACATCATGGTGAGGTCAGGTGGCTGAAAGATAGGGTTTCCTGCTTGCCTCTCAGAGTTGCCCTTCAGGGTGTGGGGAGGGGTCTGCTCCACCAGTGCATTCCTTACAAGGAACATGCTAGAAAGCAGCACCAAGCAGGATTGAAGTCTGCTCACTATCTGATGAGCAGAGAGTTCATTCGTCCTCTCCATAGGGGGCTGCTTCACCAGCACATTCCCTGCAGGGGAAGTAGATGGCAGTTGGATATGGTTTTGGGAAAATGGCCTTTTGGGCTAAAGATCTGCCTATGGGCTAGAGGTTCCCAACCCATGATGTAAATGAATGCTTGCACAGGCTTGCTTCTTTAACTGAAATGAATAGGAAAGCAGTTGCTGATGGACCTTCCATGCTTATAATTAGATATTGGATGTGTGTGTGTTCCTGTATGTTTCCCATTTCCAAGTAGCTTTCTTTCTCCACCTCTACCTCCTAGTAGCATGTCTGTTTTTATATTAATAGAATTGGTACTGAATGCTGTTATGAATATTTTTATATTCTAACAGCAATATGTCACTTTCAAAGCTCCCTATATTTATTTAAAACATTTTACCCCTACCTTTACCTGAAAAGCCTCCCAGAGTGGCATACTTAAGATCAATAACGGTGAAGAATGCAGTCTGTGTCTGTAGGCTTACAATTCGAAAGACACTAAATGAAAGGGGAAAGAGATGAGGTGGGAAGAGGAAAGAAAGCAAGCAAACTCAGCACCAGTTCTTAAAGTTATATTTGAAGAACTGTGTGCCAGTCACTGGGTTGGAGGTCAGTAATTCTGCAATGCTGGATTTAGGCATGCGGTTTGCATCTGCAGAGCAGCAGGAATGGCATTGCGAGGCAGTGATTCTTGGAAATTATATCCTTGATGTTCCATTAAATCCTCCTTTGTTTTGTGGCCAGAGCAACTCATCACAAATGTTCAGCTCAAAGGCGTTCACGCCCTGTTTTTCTCTAGGCAGTTAAAATAAGGGGTTTTTTTAGTCTAAAATCTTGTCCCTGGCACAAGAGTAGGCCTGGGCAATATATCAGTATATTGCTCAGGACCGGTATGTGGGGGGAGACTGTGATGACAGCTTCACTCAGTGGTATATTGCTGGTGAAACGGTCACCACTCATGAGTCCCCCTGCCTTCAATGCTCTGAGAGACAAACAAACTAGCTGGGAGCTGGAGGCAGAGGGACTCAAACGGTGGCAGTTTCACCAGCAGCATACCACTGGTGAAACCACCATCGCACTCTGCCCCCGCAGAGGGAGAATCAAACTGAATTGGTGAGGTGCTGATACAGCTTGTTCCTTCCTTCACTTCTTTAAACTGCTTGGCTGAAGAGCGTGCTGCTGCCCTCACCTCAGCCCAGCAGTTTTATGGGGCCCCTGACCCACCACTGGCTTGCACAAGTCAGCAGCGGGATGGGGACTCTATTAAAGTGCTCCCCCTCCCCAGCTGAGAGATCCCCGACCCCGCTCCTGCTTCTACATGAGTAGGAGCGGGATCCGGGCTGCTCAGCTAGGGAGCACGAGTGGCAGGGGACTCAGGGCTTACTCCACTGGGGGCAAGAGCTTTCCTGCTCCCGGTGGAGTCTGGCCAAGGAGCTTAGGGCTCGCTCAGCTGGGGGCAGGTGCCTTACCGCCCCCTAGCTGAGCAGCAGGCTGGAGGCAGGTGCCTTACCGCCCCCCAGCTGAGCAGCAGGTGGGGCCAGCTGTATTGGCCATGGCCCGTGAGGCGCTGGGGTGAAAGCACCTTAGCTCCCATGCTGAGAGCTGTGGCAGTTTCACCCAACATCTCTCTGGCTAGAGCCAATGCAGTTTTTTTCAACATCATAGTATATCGCCAAACCATTATGTTTTACTGGCGAAACACTGCAATGTTAAAAACCCAACATTGCCCAGCCCTACTTTTGATATTTTGCAGTATTTTTAGAGTTCCTGCAATATTTTCCCCCCAAAAAACCACATTTCTTTAAATTCTTTTTTCTTCTGTTTTTGGTTTTGTTTCTCTTGAGTTCTTGAAAAATTATTATTTGGTAAAAAAGGGTGTTAAAAATTCTGAAATCTCCCTCCCGCTCTCTATGCAATTGTGGGTCACACCTTAGCTAAGGGTGATGCAGGCTTCTCTAAGGGGACAGACAGGAGCTGTTGGTATGTCAGGAGTGCCTTCTCAACCTAAATGTAATATGCTTTCTATATAGGCAAGAAGGCAGAGTCAATGTGTGGGTGACTCAGTAGCCTGTTCACCATCATTTGAGTTGAATTGATGGATGATAGTCGGACTCTATCGGACTCTGTGATATCTTTTTATATCCCTGTTTTAATCTGTCCAAGTTCCAAACTAAATCTTCTTTTTTTTAATCACCCTTCCCTCCCTCTCTTTCCGTTTTGGTTACACCCAGGGTGATTTGAACAGTGTTTAACTTTATACTTAGCAAGACTGTACAATTTGCAACTCTCTAGTCTGGTGGAAAACTCTAAAAGGGCAAAATGTGGGAAGGCTCACAACATACAGTATAGCAAACCTAGTTGGTGAATTGGGTGGTTCACGTGAAATATATTTTACATCACTGCCAGCAGTGTTTGGAAAATGCAGCAATCCTCAAATTATGTAGTCTTGATCAGTCCCAGTAAAGCACTGGGATTAATACACGACAAGTGGTTTGACGATTTCAGCCAGATAAACAATATTATTCTCTCTCTCTCTCTCTCTCTCTCTCTCTCTCTCTCTCTCTCTCTGTGTGTGTGTGTGTGTGTGTGTGAGAGAGAGAGAGAGAGAGAGAGAACATCCTGGTCAACCTGTTTCTGCTTTATAAGCGTGTGGAGTGGTGCTGGCTGTGTGCCTTGCTGACTGCACTGGCCATAAACTGATGAGTCTTCAGACAGACTATTTTAGAGGTCTTGCTGGTACTGCATGGACTGATTCAGGCACTCTGTTTGTAGCAAAGCCATCTGGCCTCACTTCTTCCTCCCTCCTGCCCCAGCACCTTTAAAACTCCAGATAAGTACCCTTCTGTTGGCATGTGGCAGTTAATATAGAGATTTGAAGATGAGGTGCTAAGCATGAATGATCCTTGTTACTTTGTAATAGCAGAAGCGCATTGAGAGATCTGGAAGGTGCTTAGGCATGCAAAGCCTTGCTCTTTTAAAGCCTGCCACTTCATGGTTTGTATTTTGCTGATGAGCAGCGACAAATCAGAATGCGTTTTACACAGGCAAGTGCTTTCCGCAAAGCTGTATGGCTCTAACTCATGACACATGCTGGGTTAGGGACCCTTTCCCTGCTTGCTTGTGGCTGATAACTTCCTACAACTTCCCAAGATGTTTTACTAGTTTCAGAAATCATTCATGTTCAAAGCACAGTTTGAACCATAGCTACAAACAGTTGTAAATCTGGATGGCAGATGTTGCTTCAGGTGGTAAGCATTGGATATATATTGGCTATGAACTTTCCTAGCTGATATTTTGGTTTAAACTATGAGACCCAGCATATGTAGCATGTCCTCTGGTGGCCAGTTTGGTCTACAGCATTTTTTGTGGTGTTGATTCTTAAATGGATGTACATGGTTGTTCATCTGACATGCATTGTGACCTGTTCGTATCCTGTATCCTCCTGAGTTTCATTTTCATGGTGGCTGAGATTCTGCAGAGATGCTACTTCCATGATCACTGGTGCAGATTTATACTCTGCCTTATTATATCTGTTAGAATGGGTGCAAGTCTTGCTTTTACCAGCTGTGCCGCATAGGAGTGAATTGAAATGCAACTGGTGATGTGATCTTAGGCTGTGACTTTTTTTACATGTTAGTCAACATCTGATAGGGTGTACTTTGTAAGAAGATGCCTCCCCCTTGAGTTCTCATAAATGCCACTCATGTGTCTCACTGAGCATGTGCAAGGAGAGCAGGGTTGCTGTCGCTGGCCACCCCAAATGTCTTGCTGCCTCTGCTCCTCTAAACCCTTGTGCCTTTGGTGGAAGCTCTGAACAGGGAGCCTATGTGTTTACAGCTGCATATGTGAAGTGTTCAGGGCATTTCTGCGTGGGACCTTTGTTAGAACTGAAAATCAGAGTGTGCCTGCATGATGTATTAAAGATTAGCTCTCACCACAAAAGGATGCATTAAAACAGCATAACTCCCATGCAAAATGGTTGTCTTAAAACCACCTTCAGAAATTATCTTTAGTAGGTAATAAGACCAAGGGTCTTGGTACAAATGCATGCTGCTCCCATGCAAATATTTTTGTTACTGCAGCTGGCTAATAGGAGAAGCAGAGTTAGGGAGATTGGATCATAAGAAGCCAATGTGATCCCTCCATCAGATTCTGTTGCGGAAAGTGTATGATGGACAAATTCTAGACATATTTACTTTGCTGCTGTCTGCACTGCCTTCTGCCAATCACATTGTACGTACATTCTGACCCTTAACAAAGTTGATGACTTTTGAGAAACTTGTAACAGTATTTAATTCAGAATTCCCAAAATAATGGATCAGTGGTTTGTAGAGATTTAAGGAGATGCTTTTTACTGATCTGCTCAATGGTCCATTTTGCCCAGTATTCTTTGTCCTGACTAGGGCTGGGCAATATCTGGATTTCAACATCCCAATATATCAACAGCTAAACACCACAAAATATTGATATATCATGATATATACCTGCAGTGGCCTTGTTGGGCCTCCCCGTGGTAGCAGAGGGTCCCACCATACCTCCCCGCAGCAGTGGAGAGCGTGCCGCGCTTCCCTGCAGCTGCAGAGGGCTTTGCTGAGGCTCCACACGGTGGTGGAGGGCCTTAAGATGTAAGGAAGTAATAAAAATATTAAATAAACTTCCATATACTGTAATATAGTTTCAACTAATTTAAGAGTAGTTTAAGTGATTTACTAGTCAAGTTGCATCTGCTTCCCGACTCAGAGGTCTAAGTGGAATCTTTGCATGCATAAACCCCACTGAGTTCAACTAAACTTCAACTTTCTCTTGCACTGCTTACTGAAAAATACCCTCCCTATCATTCTCGCATAGTACCCAACTTCCCATTTCAGCATAAGGCAGCCAGCTATATCTTCTCCCCTCCATTCCCTCCCCACAGAGGACCCCCCCCAAAGTCCTTATCCCACCAATGTCTCCCTTTTTATCAAAGGGGAGGGCAACAAAGGTAAAAGATAGTCTCCTTTAAATTTTTTAAAAACCCCTTTTAGTATGGAAGAAAGCTATTTAGGGGGAACCAACAACATAAACACCAACAGAAAATAAAAATAAAAACTCTTCCACTTCTTTTTTTCCCACCGGTGGGGGTGAGTGTGAGGGAAGAAGGAAGTGCTTTCCAGTTCTTTGTTTATGTTCTTTGTTTACTTTGCTGCTGGATCTTTGATTATCTAGCTGTGGGGGGTCCCTCCTGGATTGTTAGCTGGCTCTGCATAATTAGTTGAGCTCTTAAGTGGAAAGATATGGGTGAAGCTGAAAGACTTTGCTGGTTTGTGTGAGGACTTATAATCATTTCTTATAGGTAGGAGGGAGAGAGCAAACAAAGCAGGAGACATGGTACCTGCAAACTATCTGTAAAGTATGGTTGGGCTGAGCTACCCCCTGGGAAGCTGTCAGATCTGTTCCCGGTATATTGCCTTGTTGAAACACTTATCAGGTGTTATTTCAATACCGGTATTCAATGATATGGTGATTTATCGCACAGCCCTAGTCCTGAATGATAGCTGTGGCAGATTTTTTTTATTTACATGTGTTGAGGATTGAGCCTGGGATATTGAAGATGCAGAGTGTAAAGATGCTGTAACACTTGGCTATTGAAATATCATCTCTGGGCTCTGACCATGTGAAGTATGGGGCATCTCTTGAAATGAGGATCCCAGTAAACAAGATGCTGAAATTACATATTTCCCCCTCTTCTCCCTTTTTAGCTACTAGATGTACAGACGCTAGCAAGCTTCACAAGGGAAAGAATTAGGCTATCTCATCTTGGGATACAATTCCTTGTGTTGGGGTTATATTTAGGGATATTTTGAGTTTTTGCACTTCCTGTTGAAATTGACGAGAACTGATTATCCATTTGCGCAGCAACTTGATTGTGTCATGTGATTTGACAAATGCAACTATGGACCCCATGTCCAAACTGTATTTTTCAGTTCTCTGTTTCAGCATGATGATGTGGTTTAACTTTCTGGCCTCTTAATTGGCAGTGTTGTTGACCTTGTTGTGCACCGTGCTCCATGGTTACCCAGGAGCTGTGAATCATAGAGTGTAAATATCAAATACCAGTGTCTCATCCCTCCCCCATTCTCACTTCCTTTCTTTGCAGGTATTTAGAACAGACCTGATCACTGCCATGAAGCTGCCTGATTCCCACCAGCTGAACCCGGATGAGTACTATGTGCTGGCAGACCCTTGGAGACAGGAATGGGAGAAAGGAGTTCAGGTGCCAGTCAGTCCGGGGACCATTCCAGAGCCAGTAGCCAGGTATAGCTTGGTGAACCCATTAAGAAACAAAACAGCTGTCCTATCAGCATCACCTTTCAGCAGCCTGTTGGGTTGCTTACTAAAAAGCAGATCACCTGATGACTTGGGTTCCACTCTGCTGATTTAAAGGTTACCCATCCTAGCCAACTGATTTTGCCCCAGGAAAGTGTTGCAGATGAAAGTCAGGCCTTTCCCACCAGCGCCTCTACTTGTCAATTAAGGACATCACATCCCAGACTGAGTGCTTACTTATAACAATACATGCTGGCAGAAGGAGGACTCCTGTTTCCTATTTGAAAATGAGTTCTTCCTAATTGAAAATTTGTTGTAGCCCTTCCTTGTGAGCAGATCCAATGTTCTGTGTGCTGCCTACTCAGACATTCCAGGAAAATAATCACAACACTTTAATGAGTTACTTGCTTCTCTTGTGCCACTATCCACCCCTCCCCCCCCAAAAAAAATCTGGAAGTGGAGCAGTCATCAGTGACTCTGGCTAGGATGTGGTTTGGGCTTCACAAACTGTTCCATGGATATATTTTTGCTTTTTAAAAAAAGTTAATACATCCTTTTTGAGAATCATTGTGATTTTGACTTTCTTTAAAATGCAACAGGTTTTTATTGTTGCCAAGGAATGCCAGCAAGCACCGGTTAAATGTTGATAATTTTTTAATGGCATGTTTACAAGGATAGATTTTACTTCTGGTGATCATGATTGTTGACCTGCACTAAGTCCAATTTTCAGAACTCGCTGTGATCTAGTCATTTTCTCTTGTGCTGGTCTCCCATTTGTTTTTCTAGAAATCCTAGTGCTACCTATATACAGTTGAACCAATTGCAGCAGCAACAAATGCTATGCAAAATTCTAAATTCTTGAATGTCCTGTCAAATGAAGTCACATTGGAAAGTGCGTACATTGGTACAGATTTTCCTGCTTTGTGCAATTTGTTTAAGTAGCAGAGTGAACAAAGCTGGCTTATACTAAATGAGACTCTTTGTCCTTCTGTCTCACCCAGTATTGTCACACTTGACTGGCAGCAGTTCTCCAAGGTCTTAGGCAGAAGTCTTTCCCATCACATTTTGTCTTCTCTCTTTTAACTGGACGTGCTGGAAATTGAACCTGGGACCTTCTGTATATGAAGACCTACCCACAAAGCCCCAGTTCAGATTTCTGCATTCAAAGTCCAGAGGGCTAAATGTTTCGCCACTGAACCTAGACATAAAGAATAGGGAAGCATCCTCCCATTGGCTCAGGAGTTTTTAAATTCCCACCATCCCTGACCCTTCACTGTGGTGGCTGGGGCTGATGGTAGTCGAAAAACATGGGGGGGGGGCACAGTTGCTCCAACCTGGCCTTAACTAAGATCAGGCTTCTTTCTGAAAGTTTCTTTTTGAAAAATTCCAGATGACTATGGAATTTTATGTCTGTAACTTCTAGCCCTTGTTCCTGTCATGAGTATTGCCCCATGATTCTTTCATGTGACTGCAGCCTCTGTTAACTTCCAGCTTTGAAATGCAGTCTCGTGTTATGAAGTAGATCTGTGATTGCATAATTAATGCTAAAAATGCAGTATGGCCTGTATTCTAAACCCAGTTTTGGTCATATCAAAGTCTTTTCCCAAGCAGTGTAAATCTGATGCTTTTAATTTAAGCCAGAGGTAGAGAACCTGTGACTCTTATCTCCCATCAGCCCCGGCCAGCTTTGCCAGTGGGCAAGAATGGTGGGAGTTGTAATCCAGCCATATCTGAAGGGCACAGGTTCCCCATCCCCAGTTTAGATTCACGCAGAAAAAGAGTGGCTTATAAACATTCATAAAAACATTGATTTTAACCGCAGCAGTACATTTAAGAAACCAAATTGCTGTTTTGACTGTGTTGTATCCCCCCATTTTCCTATTTTTACACTTTCGTGCTTTTGCAGATGTCTTCTTCCTATCACAATAGTATAACTACAGAAGACAATTCCTAAATTTCCAGAACACTATTTAGTGTTCTTACCTTTTGTTGAACTTTGGGGCTTGTGGCAGATTCCATAAAATCAACGTACAGAATATGTAGATGCCTATACAGTTCCATGTATTGGCATCCACATATGAAGAATTCCTATAGGCTGAATATAATCTTGTTCGCCTTTCTCACCTGGCACAGTGCATAAGCAGTACAACAGTCTGCTGGAAGAAATGGGAGGTCAACTCACACCTTCCAATGCCTCACCCAACTTTTCCTCTCCATTTGGTCATGGTGGGAAGGAGGAAATCTATTGATTTCATGGGAATCCTTGTGTGAGAAGTCTGTGGCACTATGACTTGCATTTTTACACCATTTGTCACTCTGTGCCGCGTCACTGTTGACAGCAGAAGATGGAGAAACATTGACTGTTTTTTTTACACCCCCAGAACATCTATATCTACTGACCATGCAGTCTCTCAGTACATGGATTACAGTACTATCTTTGTAGTTTCTAGAATAATAGAATAATTCAGTTGTAATTTACATGAACTGGTGTACTGTTTGAGTGATGTTTCTCCCTCCATATTTGTGTGCTGCAATTAGTTTTTTTTAAAAGAGCATCATTTTTGTGTTATTTTTCTCAGGTATGTATTATTCAGACGCTGGTGTCAATTTAAATACTGTATTTATTCTAATGCAATGCGTACCTTTTGGGGCCAAATTGCATCCCCCAAATTAGGGTGCACATTAGATTTGATGGCGCCAGCAAATACCCTTTTGGTTTCAAGGTTTTGAAAATTGAGGTGCGCATTAGATTTGATGGCGCATTAGATTCTCATAAATATGGTATGTTGTAAGGTAACTTGAGGGTAATTTTAAATGGAAAAAACAGGATTTCAATAAATAATAAAATTTATGTATTTTTATTTCTGCAGACATGCATCCCTCTGGTGCTACAATATTGGCAGATGATCTTTTTCTGTTGTTGTTATTTTATTATTACCATTATTTTGCTGCATAGCAATTTGAAGCCTCTGGCAGTAATTGCATTGGAGAATGGAGGTTTCACCACTTTAAGGAGGATTGCAACCTGGTGTAATTAACACCTCCTGTTCGGTATACTTTCAGGGTTGTATCTGAGACAAAAGCAGTCATATTTACAAGACCTCGGAAGTACATCCTTTCTTCGGGTTCTGAGCCCCCTGAGCTTGGCTATGTCGACATTCGGACCTTGGCAGAGAGCGTCTGTCGCTATGACCTTAATTTCATGGACGTAGCATGGTTGGAACTGGCTAATGAAGAATTCAAAGAGATGGGTGAGTGCAACATCCAGTTACGGCCAGCTTTTGGCTGAGCTGTGAGACAAGTGACAGGGAGCAGTCTGGGGTGGTTGTAGTGCAGCTGCCAATTCATATGGTGCACTTGCAGCTTCCAGAAAGAAAAGGAGAAGGATAGGAATGCTCAGAAGCAAGTTGTATATCCCTGCATGTGGAGGAGAGAGGGGTGTGGAGAACTGAGGGGAAAGAAAAACAGCACAAATGTCAACACTATTTTTGTTGGGTGGCAAGGCAACAGCCATCTCAAAGCTCTAATTCCTAGATTAATGTGAAGGAAGTGGAAAAAGGAAATGTGTCAGGAAAGCCAATTCCATCTTACCTTTAAATGTATTAATAGAAAAGTGAATGATATTTTTAAAACAGTCTAGAGTTGTTTGGGGACTTCAGAAGCTTCCAAACCCTTCAGGTTTCCCTAGAACTGATGGAAAAAAATTGAACTGCTATAGTGACATTCACCTCTTGGCCCTGCTTTGTGGCAACATTGTCTTGGACTTCTGACAATTTTATCATGCATTTATTTTATTCTGTAGCAGCAATTCATTGTTGAAACCAAATAGTCTTTCAAAAAGCATCTGGAATTTATTCAGCAATTAAGAAGGCTTAAGAGTCAACTGTGAAATGGCTAAAATTAGACAAATGGTCTGAAGTGAAGAGCAGTATGTTCCCTTACAAAATGAATAAGGGATTTTACCCCTTATGAAAACCCTTATGAAGGTTTTCAGTACTGCAGAGCACCTTATAAAAACATAGTAATAGTTGGCAAAATAGCCCCAGGAGCAGCTGGCTCTTTAAAAAGCTGAATACCTTGAAATAAACCATTTGTATGAGATTTTCAACCATCCACTGCAAAATCAATATGCTACGCTTGGGTTTAAAGTTTTGTTTTGTCCAGTATGTGTGTTTGGATTACTGGCAATAAACAAGAACCGTACTGTATTGATGCACACTTTTTCTGGGCTTTTGTTATTGTTATCTAATGGATGCCTTTCAGCAGAGTATTTTGAAGGTACGTGAAATTGTAAATAACCCACTTGATCAGTTGTTCAATGTTAATAGAGTGATCTGGTTACTTGTAGATTGATAAAGGAAGCTGTGTCCCTCAATGTCTCTATTATATTAAAAGCAAATGTCATTGGAATGATTTCCCAGGGATGCCTGAACTGGATGAATACACTATGGAGAGAGTCATGGAAGAATTTGAACAGCGATGCTATGACAACATGAATCATGCTATCGAGACCGAGGAAGGGCTTGGAATTGAGTATGATGAGGATGTTGTCTGTGACGTTTGCCAGTCTCCAGATGGTGAAGATGGCAATGAGATGGTGTTCTGTGACAAATGCAATATTTGCGTTCATCAGGTACAGCAGCAAGATGCAATAATAATTGGAATTGAAAGTAGTTTGTTTAGATTTCACCGTGATAAGGCGGTGATGAGGATTTCATAAGCCTTGGGTGCTTTTTTAGGATGTATGGGAATAGTAGGTGGAAGCATATATTGAGGCAAAGGTATAGGGATGCTTAGAGAGGTGATGTCATAAGATCACAGAAAATTCAGATAGGATGGTTAAGTTGCCCCATTTAGTGGGTTTCTGAATTTTTAAATCATTAGCTTTGGTTTCTTGCATGTCTAAGTGATGTTTTGCTTCTTTGCATACATCTGAACCCTAGATATCTCATGTTTCTTTGTGTGCCTTCTCCAGGAGAGGTCTGAAGGATGACCACTGGAGAACGGGTCTTTTCTGTGGAATGTGCACCCCAGGGAGGCTCGCCTGGCACCTTCATTACATATCTTTAGGTGCCTGGCGAAAACCTTTCTCTGTAACCAAGCCTTTGGCTGATTAACATTCTATGGGCCTTTAAATGTCTTTGTGGTGGTGGTGGTGGGGGGGTTATTGGGTTTTTGTTCTATTATGTATTTTTTGTTTTCATTTTGTATTTTTATGCTGGGAACCACCCAGTGTTGTTGTTGTTGTTGTTGTTGTTGTTGTTGTTGTTGTTGTTGTTGTTGTTGTTGTTGTTCTTCTTCTTCTTCTTCTTCTTCTTCTTCTTCTTCTTCTTCTTCTTCTTCTTCTTCTTCTTCTTCTTCTTCTTCTTCTCCTCCTCCTCCTTCTCCTTCTCCTTCTCCTTCTCCTTCTCCTTCTCCTTCTCCTTCTCCTTCTCCTTCTCCTTCTCCTTCATCATACAGAAAAAACAGGATGCATCCAATAGTGTAAATAGAAAAGAGAAATGAATCTTAAAGATGCTGTAAAGAATGCGTGTTTGTTGTTAAATTAGCCTGACATACTTCAGCTCCAGTGCTTTCTTCAAGGGCTTATCTGTTGCTAAACCATACATAAAAAGCCTTTAAAAGGCTTTTAAAATACAATATGTCATTGAAACCTCATTTTCAAGTCAAATTAACAGAAATAAAACCTATTTTAACTAGAACCAGCCATATCTTGTAGCCCATACAAACATCCTTTCCTAACTGCTCAAAAACATCCTTGGAGTGAATCAAGTGGTTGTTAATTTGTGGGTGATTTCTGCTTTCTTTCATTTCTCACAAACCTGGGTTTGCTTGCAAGTATTTAGTTCTGTGGTTTGAGGAGGGCTTCTTAAGAGCTTTTGCCCTTCAAGGTCTTTGAAACTGATGGTTTTTGACCTCTTACTTTGGCTTGAAAACGAGGTTTCTACAGTTATGCATAACTGTATTTTAAATGCTCTTACAAGGCTTTTTATTTGTGGTTTAGGAAGTGTTCTACTTTATACAGATAAGCTCCTGAGCCAAAACACATTAGGCTCATTTAACAATAAGCATATGTATTTTCTAGCATCTCTCATGTTTCTGACATTACCTATCCATTTGGTTCCCACATATTCCTGTTTTTGGAAAATCTGCCACTTTGTGTGCTGCTCTTTTTTTTTTTTTTTGGTGGGCATAGCCAAAGTAACATAAGGACCCAATCCAGTGCTAGTCATGTACCAACAGCTAGCAGCTCCCAGTAGTAATGTTGCACCATCCAAATACATATATGGAAAAGCTTCTGTAGGCAGCTCTCTTCTTGAGATGATCAATAAATAAAATATATCACGCAAGTAGGCAGACATTCTGTTTGCATAGAGCATCAATTTCCTGGGGGGGGGGGAATGTAGAGCTGTCATCCTCATTTTATTCATTTTTCAATTTAATCTATTCAGAAATGTCCCAGGCCCACAGACAGATAATTGGATTTGCTTTTGTTTGCTATCATAGTCTACTTTTTGATAAAGATCACCATCATTTTGTCTGGCATATATAGCCATGCCAATAACAAGCATGTTCAGTATATGTGGAATGTGGGGCACTTTCATTTATAATGAACATGGTTGGAAGTGAGCAAGGCATCCCACCCAACACAGCAGAAATGAAAAATACTTTTTGGTGCAGAAGATAATTTATACGGCAGTTTTTGAATGCATCAGATTTTGTGGTTGGCTATTTCCTGTTGAGGGAAAAGTCTGCCATGTGTTGTCCCCCCCCCCACAAGTGTTTTAACTATTCCCTTTCATACATGATACCTGATAAGCAAGAGAAGGGTAATTTTGTCTCTTGGGTCCTGCAGTGGATGAAAACGTATACATGTGCTTTCATATCCAATAGGACAGACTGCCTTTTGAGCATGGTTTATCTTGCAAAATTACTTTAGAGTTTATTTTAATTATTTTTCATATTTCCCTTTTAATAAGTTGGCAGATGTTCTTATTGCATTTTGAGTTCAGTGAACTATACAAAGTTAGAGACAGAGCCAAGAAAAATGCCTCTGAAGGGGTCCTATGTTTGTGACAAGAAGAAATGTTAGTGACACAGCTGTGGTCAACCTTTCCTTGGGGCAAAGGTTGAGCCAGTGCCCAAAGCAGTAGCACTTGTGCTCTTGGAAGACCTCCCCTATTTTTTTCTTTTCACCTTCTCATCTTTCAGATAGACATAGAAGTTAATGCTCTTATTTATATGTCATGCTCTTATTTTAGGCTCAAAGTCCTGGCTTACCTCCAATTGAGATAATTATTAACCCAGGCAGGAATCAGCCTTCCCTTTGCTGTCACAGCTGGTTATGATAGTCCTCTTTATTTCCTGTTCCAGTTTCCTTGCTACTGCAGTGTAAGACCTCTCATATCTAGGGCAACTTAAGAGGCAGGTGCAAAATATGAACTTGGTGTCATGAGTACTACTACTACTACTAATATGGTCCTACATGTTTGGGGATCTGAAACTAACTTCACATGCAGCCTGGTCACAAATCACGGTAGCTTGTACTGGTGTGCTTTCTACATGATCCAGTTGATATGTTGGGGAAGCCAGTTCCTGAGATACCACAGTCATGTGGAGTCCTGACCAATTGGAAGCTGTTTTAGTGACAAATCATACAGGAGAAGTTAGAATTAATCCTTTATAGCAGGGTTGGGGCACCTCTGTTCCTCAGGCCAAATTTGGTCCAGGTCCAGGTCTCAGTGTGGCCCACAAAACTGTTTTCCTCCTCATATGTAATTTCAGGTGTGGGACAGGTACAGATGCAGCTGGGTTGGCTGCTCAACTAATCCCTGCAGAAAGCGGCTTTGCTAACCCTGTGCTTGGTGCTCTTCCAAACAGGGCTGTCAAAGCTGCTTGCACTGTGGTTCACACATTTGCTGTGAGGCTGAACGAGGAGAGTATTATAACAAATGTTATGTCCACCAAATGTGCTAGAGAAATATTAGCAACAAGACCATACAATGAAGTGTCCTTTTTATTATTTGTTATCATTTTAATAATTGCTGCATTTTTCTGGGAGAGTGCTAGAGTCCTGTCTAGTCAAGTTGCATGGGATCAATTCCAATCCGTTACTGCTGAGGATGTGGACAGGCTGCTTGGACGAGTGAAACCCGACCACCTGTCTCTTTTATCCTTGCCCATTCTGCTCATAAAAAGCTAGCCAGGAAGGGCTGGGTGATGGGCTCTGTGGGTGGTGAATCCTTCCCTCTGTGAGGGAGCATTCCCAGACCCAGAGTCATTTTGGACTCAAAACTGTCCATGGAGGCACAGGTCAATTCTGCATCCAGGGAAGCTGTCTACCAGCTCCACCTGGTACACCAGCTGAGACCCTACCTGCCTGTGCACTGTCTCACCAGATTGGTATATGCTCTGGTTATCTCCCACTTGGACTACTGCAATGCGCTCTACTTGGGGATTTCCAATCACAAGCAAAGTGTTGGTGTTGACCTTTAAAGCCCTAAATGGCCTTGGCCCACTATACCTGAAGGAGCGTCTCCACCCCCATTGTTCACTGAGGTCCAGCTCCGAGGGCCTTCACTTCAAGAAGTGAAGCTACAGGGATCCAGGCGGAGGACCTTCTTTGTAGTGGCATCTGCCCTGTGGAACACTTTTCACCAGATGTTAAGGAAATAAACAACTATCTGACTTTTAGAAGACATATGAAGGCAGCCCTGTTTAGGGAAGTTTTTAATGTTTGATTGTGTTTTTACTATTCTGCTGGGAGTGGCTGGGGAAACCCAGCCAGATGAGCGGGGTATAAATAATAAACTTAATTCTTATTCTTCTTACTTCGTTCTTCATTTTACTTCTTTTCATTGTGGCAGGCATGCTATGGCATCCTAAAAGTTCCAGAAGGCAGCTGGCTGTGCCGAACCTGTGCTCTTGGTGTTCAGCCCAAGTGTTTGTTGTGCCCCAAGAAAGGCGGAGCCATGAAGCCAACTCGTAGTGGGACTAAGTGGGTCCATGTTAGCTGTGCCCTCTGGATTCCTGAGGTGGGTGTTTCAGGCAACTGATTCCTCTGCACATGCTCAGAATGGAGAAAACAGAGTATTGTATGTTTTATAGTGAGAGCAGACAGCCTTGGTGGTGGTGTCAACAAAGAGTGTCAGGTACTGAAGCCATTTGGAGAGAGTGTTGCCCCAGCTGCATCTGAAAATGGGATTTGCAGGAAGACAAGGTGCAATAGCACCCATCATCATGGACCCTGGAGTAGTGCCACCTGTCAGTGGTGACCAAGAGGATTTGCAAGAATGTGAGGATACAAAGAACACAGCTAGCTATGGAGATCTGGGTTCAAATTCCTGTTTGTCGGTGACCACAGACCAGTCACTTACTGCCTATCCTACTACCTCAGAATGTTGTTATGAAAACAACTTTGGGTGGTGGTGGTGAGGGAATTGTGCATGCTGCTCTGAGGTCCTTAGAAGGGTGTGATAAAAATGTAATAATTTTCTATCCTTAAAAATAGCTTTAATAAATGGTTGGACACTTAAATAGCTAGCTTACCTTTTTGTCCGTAGCAAGATCACGCCAGGATAGTCATGCTTCCTGTTCTTTGTTCACTGCTTGATTCCCACCTACCCCCTTCTTTTATCTAATGATTCTTAGGTGAGCATTGGCAGCCCAGAAAAGATGGAGCCCATCACAAAGGTCTCCCATATTCCCAGCAGCAGATGGGCCCTGGTGTGCAGTCTTTGTAACGAGAAGGTTGGGGCATCCATACAGGTAAATCACTCCGACTGGGTATTATGAACATGTATCTGCTACAGAAATCTCGCTACTGTAGTGAGGTTTTCATTTTTAACTTCCATGAAGTACATTAGAGTGCAGATGTTGCTGTTTAGTCGTATGAAACATCAATTTAGGATTTTAATTTGGGGTCTGCCTTGGACTGAAGATATTTAGGCCTTGTTGTCATATTACTCTATGTCTGCTAAAAGCAAGGACCCTTAGTTGAAATCTGAGGTAATAAACTTGTAGCCAGCCAAATGTTGTCAGGCCCCCAACTCTTTATCAGCCCCAGTCAGCATGGCCAATGGTCAGGGATGATTGGAGTTGTAGTCCAGCAATGTCTAGAGGGCCTCTGTTCCCTACCACTCCCACTTTAGTTGGTTCACTACACAGATATGCAACATCCTCATCTTTTGTTTCTCCTGATGGTTTCCTAAGATCCATAGCAGTCTCTGAAATCTATTTTGGTATAGATATGATAAAAAAAGTTTCATTTCCTACTTCCTGCCCTTTTGTGCCACTTTCGGGTTTGCTGCGATGTGTGCGATCTCGTGTGGCTTGAACTCACATAAATGGGAAATTGCCTGTACCGAGGACTTTTTTTCAGCTGGAACTCACCAGAACTGAGTTCTGGCACCTCTGCAGCGTTGTGGCACGGTGTTTGGGGCTGTGCACCAGAGGTTGCGGGCTGCGCGGTGCTATGTGTTGAGTGACGAAGGCTGCGGACAGTGCGGTGATTGGTGCAGGTGGATGGGCATGCGGACAAAGAGATTTTTTTTAGGGCCAGTGTCATTTATTAGCCTTGCCTGTATCAGTGTCATTTAGCCTTGCCTGTATCAAAATGCTGGTGCACACTTCCCATCCATTCACCACCAATATCTTCTTCTAGTTTCTTTGGTGGTAGTTTTATTGTTCCTCACACAGTTCTCCTGTGATGTCGAAGATCAGCATGAATTGACTCTACGGAATTCATTATCACAAGATGCAGTAATGACCACCAACTTGGATGGCTTTAAAAGTGATTTGGACAGATCAGGCTATCAAAGACAAGTAGCCACAACAGCTGTATGCTACCTGTAGTATCTGAGGCATCGTGCCTCTGAATACCAATTGATGGGGAGCACAGGTGAAGAGGGTGCCACTGTACTTGTCTTGCTTTGCAGGCTTCTTATAGGCATCTGGTTGGTCACTGCTTAGGTTGGTGGTGCTATGCAACAGGGATGTTGTTATGTTCTGACCTCGCACTGTCCTGCTATTTATTATGTTGTACAGACTTTCCCCCCAAAGTAATTGGTGAATATGGGCACAAACAAAGAGAGACCAGTACTAGGACAAGAAGTATCTAACCTAAACAAATACTTCAATTAATGTGAAATTGGCTCAGAATGATTTTCTATGGCTGGTGATACTGTAGTTTTGCCAGTGAAAAATAGGCATTGGTGACTGGTGTATATTGGTGTGATAATCAAGCTCTGTCAATATAAAACTCTCTTCAGCTTGTTCTAATTAGCCCTCTCAGATTCCTAGATAAAGAATGATTACTTTTTCTCTCTCTCACTGTGATAGATTTATAGCACACACACGAGAAGACAATTCATGTTAGCTCACTGTTCAGTTAGTCGTTCTTTCATGTTTGTGCGTAAAATATTTATTAACGTAGAGCACTCGCTTTGCAGCGCTTGGATTTTAGAATGCTAATAAATATTTTATGCATAAACATGAAAGATCTGCTACCTGAATAGGGAGCTAACCTGACTGTATCCTGTATGTGTGGGTGGATGTTTTAACTACAAAAGAAGTCATTGTTTAATATGGAGAAAGATGCAAGCATATAGCAAGCAATGTCCTCCCCTCTGTAGAAGGGAACTTGGGGGAATTCTTTTCATTGACTTGCCCATGCAGGGCTTTCGAGGAAACTGAACTTGGCTGTAGGGCAAGGGCATGTGTTAGGGGATTGCTCTGTGTGTAGAGCATTCAGTTGCACTGGCCCCTCCCTGGCTTCACTCTCTGCTCTGAATCATTGATACGCCAGAGATTCAGTAGTGCAGCCAGACAGCCTTTCAAGCACTTTGCCAGAGGCTTTGTTTACTGCTCCCTTTCCAAACGAAGTGTAAAACAAAAGCACGGAATATGAATCATAGAAATCTAATTGGTGCCCAGTGCTTTAATAAATAAATACTAAAAGTCCTTTGCAAACCTTCATCTGTTTGCTAGAATCTTTGCCCTGAATATAGATACTAGTGGGTGTGTCCTGTTCTTCCTTATGTAGGTCCTGCAGAGTTGATAATGCAAACATCAAAAAAGGGCATTGCTGTTCCTTTGGGGAACATGCTGTTTACAAAAACATCCTCCCATGTGCTTGAGGGAAGGATCTCGGTCGTGGTTTTCTGGTATTACTTTTGCACATTGGGTTACTTTCCAGTATTACCCATTGCTATCACAAGGAAAGGCATTGATGCATGCATGACATGGGTGGTATTTTGGTTTCCCCTCGCAAGTGATAAGGTGGTGCTTGATCAGATTGTTGGATTGACTCCTCCCACATCCTTGAAATACACTGATGGGCTTTCATTCTGATTTTTAATCTCTTAAGAACCAAGAGCGCTTGTGGTGAAACCACCCCATCTGTCCTGAAGTGTAGGATCACGCTAGTGCACTTCATGCAGGTTGTTCACACATACACTGCCACCACTTCTTTCTTCAAAACCACCTAGGTTTGGGGTGAGAAATAAACACACAGCTTTTTTTTATCTGAGAGGAGAACAGAGTTAGGAAATTCCTGCCTAAAGGCAGCTGGAATCCAGTGTGTGGTTCCTGCTACCTCCATGCTAAGCAAGTAGCATGGAAAACCAACTGGTGCACGGATATATGACACCTGTTAGCTAAGTGATCCTAGGATTCAAACTGAATGTTCAACCCCAGGATTAAAATTAAAATATTTATGGAAAATACAAGACAGTGGGCAAAATAGGGAGTTTAGTGAAAGAGTGAAAATAAAAGTTTGTTCTAAATAATCCTTTACATTATATTCAACCTAGTATAAGCCTAAATGCAGGCGTAACTTGCTTCCTTTTATTGACTATGTCTGGGGTAAGAAGGGCGGGTGGGTTCATTGATGGATCTAGGGAATTTCGCCTTTACGAATTAGTGGGTGGTGGGTGATAAACTTGCATCAGCAAGAGGTGCCTCAGAAGGGTTCTGGGTGCAGGCCTGCATCACAATCACACAGCAATATCACCACTGAAATGATGATTGAATATCTGTAATTATATGGCTGCAGATTTAATTTGGGAGAGCCTTTACAAGAATGTACAGTGGATGCCTCGCAAGACGAAATTAATTCGTTCCGCGAGTTTTGTCATCTTGCGATTTTTTTCGTCTTGCGAAGCACGGTGTCGGGAAAGCTTTGGAAAAGCTTCAAAAATCACCAAAGTCTTAAAAAACCTCAAAAAAGGCTACCACACCGCGTTCTATGAGTTGCTCCTCGAAGTCAAGTCGCAACTGTATTAACGGTGTTAAGAAAAAGGAAACAAACTTGCAAGACGTTTCCGTCTTGCGAAGCAAGCCCATAGGGAAAATCGTCTTGCGAAGCAGCTCAAAAAACAAAAAACCCTCTCATCTAGCGGGTTTTTTGTCTTGCGAGGCATTCGTCTTGCGAGGTACCACTGTACAGAATATCACACTGTGTCAGAGAAGGGAAATGTAGGACTGCAATCTAATATATTTAATGCTCTTAATGTAAGTTTCCATCGCAGATTAACATTTTGCTTCTTGATTAATTTGCTTCTGATGGCAAGTGAGATGTGAGCTCTGGGACTCTTTAACAACCTTCCATGGCACAGATCATTCAGTTGTGCTAGCTCCATCCTCCTTGTGCCACATGTGATATAAAAGAAACTTAAAGATGACTTCCCATTCCTGTCAATGCATAGCTGGTAGATAGTTCAAAACTGTAAGAAGTTTCATGCTTAAGAGAAATTGTCCTCTTACTTTAGGAAACTGAAGTTATGGCTTCATGATATATAAATGTTGTTATAATTAATTGTTTCTGGTTGAGTGACCACTTAAAAGCCAAGTAGTTACATGATTACAAATCCTTTTAGCCATTGTCAACTCTAGCAATAGTCACGTTGACAGCTTCCTTTGGGATTGAGGTGGCAGTGTGTCTTTTTTATGTGTACATTTGAACAGGAGAATTGAAATCGCTTCATAGCTGCACAGCAGTAAGGATTTACTTATTTATTTTGACACTTTATATACCACTTAATTACAGTTGAATCTAAGCAGTGTACAGGAGTCTTTATGCAAGGAAACTAAAAATGAATTAAAACTGTAAAATTGGAATTCAATTAAAAAGCCTGCTGGAATAAAAAATAGTATTTAGTAAGCACAATAAGTTTTGGGGGGCAGGCTTGTCTGACCTTAGCTGGACAGGAATTCTATAAAACTGGGTCCACAATAATGAATGCAAAACCCTGGTGGTTATAAGCTGTGCATGGGAGACAAGTGACTCTCCCAAAGACCAAAGTTATAAAGCAGAAACGTAAGAGATAAGGCAGTCTTTGAGATAACCTGGACACAAGTTGTTAAGGGCCTTGTAAATTAATACAAGAACTTTGAACATATGGAAGCATATGGGCAACTAGTGCAACTGAATGCTAAATGTGGATTTACACAACCATATTTGTGTAGATGAAGGAACTGCAGCATATATTTCCTTTAACATCTTTGCTTAAGGAAAGAGGTAGTTGGCCCAATGCTTTCTCTTATGGAATGTTTCCAATAATTTCAGAAGGTGGCAGAGGCTGTGCACATGGAATATCATCCCCCAATCCTCTCCAAATTAAGCAGACTTCTTTCCCTCCTGTGAAATCTTTCTCATACTCTTTAACCTAGATATGTGAAATGACAGCAGCATAGAGCCCAAATTAAAATTCAGCTTTACTGCATGGAGAAGCTGTTCAGTGCACCCTTAGGTCACTGTCGGCCTGTTTGTCAGTGAAGGTTTATTGGGGAAGGCCAGAGGGCAATGTACATCTCACCGCCTTTCATATTGTGCCTCAGTGTTGACTTTATTCAAGCAGATTTATCTGAAGCTTCTACAGTTTGAACCCTGCTGTGCACTTTTAAATGACATCTGGCTGCTGAGTCAACCTGAGTGGGAAAACACTGAGGAGGAGGATAATTGGCTCCTTTTCACAAAAGGACTGTATAAATATCCTTCTGCCGCACACATATTTCTCACGTGAGATACGTTTGGGTTAAGTGGCATTTTCCTGTCATCATAAATGTCAGTGACACTCATTTATTCCATCCTCATTGGAGTTGGGAGCCCTGAAGGGGGAGAAGAGAGGTAGCGTGTAAAGGGATTTCTCTCTCTCTGTTAATGCCTATTGAAGCACATCCTGAAACATAAGCTATTTGCTTCGTAGAGCTTTGCTACAAGCTGCTTGTTTGAGACCCACAGAAAGAAGTTTTGAAGCACTTCTTTTATTTGTTATTCTGCTCTGCCTTTAGAAATCTCAGAGCAGTTTATGTGGGGCTTGTAGTAGTCCTCCGTTCAGGTACTTATTGGGTCCACACCTGCTGAGCTTCAATAATGCTGCAGTATTAAGTGCTCCCAGACCATTAAGTGTGGCCACATGCAGCCTACATGTGAGCTTCTTTGCCAAGGATTGAAATATGATAGCAAGCAGCAGAAATAGCTTTTTTAATGGGATGTGCAAGCAACTGCAGTGACGATGAGGCAGGAGATGGCTATTACTTCAGCAGAAGTCCACTTGTGGTTCTTGAGATTTGAGCCGCTGTGAATATATTTCTATCCCACCTTGTGTTGGGCTCATAATGAAATATAAGAAACTTAGGCATTGCAAAACCATACGGTTGTTTTTACACAACCTGTTAGCTACAAACATATAAAATGTAAATGTTTTAAGATCTGTTCTTCCATCCCCTCCTCTCCCCACATCTACAGTGTTCAGTGAAAAACTGCCGCACAGCCTTCCATGTCACTTGTGCGTTTGACCGTGGCTTGGAGATGAAGACCATTCTGGCTGACAATGATGAAGTCAAGTTCAAGTCTTATTGCCCCAAGCACAGCTCCACCAAGAAGTCAGATGAGGAAAACCTCAGCGAATTCACCAGCCAGGAAAATGAGAATGGGGCACAGGACAGTTCCCCTCCTGCTCACCTAGAACCTTTTGCCAGCATGGATCAAAACCAGGAGGAGGCCCACAGGGTCAGTGTTCGCAAGCAGAAGCTTCAACAACTGGAAGATGAGTTCTATGCCTTTGTCAACGCCTCGGAAGTGGCCAAGGCCCTGCAGCTTCCCGAAGACTCTGTAGAATTTATGTACCAGTACTGGAAGTTGAAGCGGAAATCAAACTTCAACAAACCTTTGATCACCCCAAAGAAAGATGAAGAGGACAATCTGGCCAAACGGGAGCAGGATGTTCTGTTCAGGCGGCTACAGCTTTTCACCCACCTCCGGCAGGATTTGGAGAGGGTAAGTTGCTGTGTTGTTTGGTAGGTCTGAAAGACGGATTTTGCCTCAGTTGCCTTACAAATCCTGATGTTTGAATGCTGTCGGATCAGGCATAAAAATCCTGCTCAATGCAGCTGAAAGGTGCACAATGGTCAATGCATGTGGCCTTGGATCTCATCCCACTAAGGTCCTCTCAGAATGATTAGAGAAGAGGCGAACCTGCAGTTCCACCTCTGCCCCTCCTTTTGCTGGAACTTCTCTGAGCGTAGTGCTGTGTTGTGACATGTTCAGGCAATCAGTAGGGATTCCCTTCTACATCCTTTGTGCTTGCTATTTCCCAGATCCTATGCTGCAAGGCCTGCTTCTGACTTGCAAGGTGAGGATGGGAGAAGCAGTTGCAAACAGTAAATTTGTGGGCCTTGCTATGGACTCTGAAACCAGGTTTGTTCTGCATGAGTAGACTTCCCAGGTTCTCTCAACATGGTGAACTCTTTATAAACACATCCCTTTGTAGTTGCAGGGGTCTTCCCTTCATTAAAGTGAGTAGGAAACCCCCTGTGGGCAGAACAGCTTTCTGTGCATTAGAGAGCTCCTGTGCTCACAAAAAGCCACTGGAGTGGGTGTGTGGCTGTGATAGAAAGTAATAAACTTTCATCTATTCTGTTTGATAAGTAATCTAGATTCTTGGAGATTTTCAGTTTCAGTGTGGCACGAACACCTCCCTGGGAGAATTTGAAGTTGTTCCGAAAGCTGCCTGCCTTTGATTGATGCTTTGAACAATGTGGCCATTCTGAACTTGTTCTCAACTCCAGTGCTTAGCTCCAGAATCTCTTAAAACGAAAGGGTTTGTGAAGAGCTTCAAAAGAATCTCTCCAGACTGAGTGAATGGGCAGTAAAATGGCAAATGCGATGCAAGTGTAACATGGTGTACATTGGAACCAACCATCTAAATTTCACATATGTGCTCTTGGGGTCTGAACTGGCAGTGATTGACTAGGAAGGAGGCCTTGGGGCTGTAGTGGATAACTCTGTGAAGATGTTCACTCAGTGTACAGGAGCAGTTGAAAAATGTAAATTCCATGTTTGCGATCATTAGGAAAGAAACTTTAAAATAAAACCACCAATATGTCATTATACAAATCTGTAGTGCAATGGAATATTGTGTACAGTTTTGGTTGTCTCACCTCAATAAGGGCTTGTAAAGTTAGAACAGAGCAACCCAAAGTGCAGAGGAGGGTGCTGAAGCATCTCTGCTAGGAGGAAAAGTTACATTTGAGGCGTTCTTAGTTTAGAGATGACATGATAGAGGTGTATTAAAATATGCATGGTGTGTAAAATGTGGTAAAGAAGACGTTTCCCCCCCTTTCTCATACTACTAGAACACAGGGACATTCAATGAAGCCAAATGTTGGAATACAAAAGGACAGACAAAAGAAAGTACTTATCATAATATTTTTATTATTTATACCCTGCTCATCTGGCTGGGTTTCCCCAGCCACTCTGGGCAGCTTACAGCATATATTGAAACAGAATAAAATATCAAACATTAAAAACTTCCCTAAACAGGACTGCCTTCAGATGTCTCTAAAAGTTATGTAGTTCTTTATCTCCTTGACATCTGAAGGGAGGGCAATTCCACAGGGTGGGCGCCACTACCAAGAAGGCCCTCTGCCTGGTTCCCTGTAACTTTTCGCAGTGAGGGAACCATCAGAAGACCCTTGGAGGAGGACCTCTTCATAGGTTCTTAATGTGGGAAGTACAGTCATACCTTCAGGTTAAAGTTGCTTCAGGTTGAGTGTTTTTGGGTTGCGCTCTGCGGCGACCCGGAAGTAATGGAATGCGTTATTTCCGGGTTTCGCCACATGCGCAGACGCTCAAAATGATGGCATGCGTAGAAGCAGCGAATCGTGACCTGCGCAGACACTGGTTGCGTTCACTTCAGAATGCGAACGGGGCTCCGGAACGGATCCCGTTTGCATCCAGAGGTACCACTGAAGGAATAAAGAAAAGGGGTCCTCTTTGCTGGTGTAATATACCTCTCCTTCAGCACTAGTAACCCAGTACACATGCCAGATTGGGTTGCAAAATGTCTTCTAGCTTGGAAAAGCTCCTTTTTAGGAGGTTTTTAAAATTCAAATATCAACTTCAAAATATGTTTCTCTTACATGAATCTACATAATATTACACATTGTGTTTTTAGGTACGAAACCTCACATATATGGTGACCCGACGGGAAAAAATTAAAAGATCTGTTTGCAAAGTCCAGGAACAGATATTCAATCTCTATACAAATCTTGTTGAGCATGAAAGAGTTTCAGGTGAGTTCCGTTTGTCTTTTTGTGCTGGAGTATGGCATGGCAAATGTGTTGGCATACTGGTCTGGAATGAAAATTATTGCTGTAATGTTTTTGTGCACTGTAATGAAAGTATTGGCTTGCATTTCTCCATAACCCTCTTTGCACCCTGCACACTGAGAAAAAACCACCAACCACATGTTAAATATTTGAAAGACTCTGATAATTTCTTTGACTTACTGAGGGACTTGTGGATTGCTATAGTAGATAGCTATTAAAAACCATTGCTAGTAGGCCTCTGTATGTGTCTTGCCACTTGCTGGCTCTTTTTATATTTTGAGATGGAGATGATCTGCTTTCCCTCCTCACTAGGTTTGCTCTTTCAGTTTTTACATTTCAGATGCATTCAGTTTCATAACTCGTCACCCACCAACCTGTACTTCATCCTCTCAACATAGTATTCAATCAGTGAAGTGTATACAGGTCCCACTCAAAAGTATTTTTTTTATATATAACTATAAAATCACTTGCTATTTATGTTTATATTTGTGCAAGTCTGAATCCTACCTGGCAGTTATTTTCCTCCAACATTATTTAGCTGCCACTATGTAGGTTTTATGAGGGACACGGGTGGCGCTGTGGGTAAAAGCCTCAGCGCCTAGGGCTTGCCGATCGAAAGGTCGGCGGTTCGAATCACCGCGGCGGGGTGCGCTCCCGTTGCTCGGTCCCAGCGCCTGCCAACCTAGCAGTTCGAAAGCACCCCAGGTTCAAGTAGATAAATAGGGACCGCTTACTGGCGGGAAGGTAAACGGCGTTTCCGTGTGCTGCGCTGGCTCGCCAGATGCAGCTTTGTCACGCTGGCCACGTGACCTGGAAGTGTCTCCGGACAGCGCTGGCCCCTGGCCTCTTAAGTGAGATGGGCGCACAACCCCAGAGTCTGTCAAGACTGGCCCGTACGGGCAGGGGTACCTTTACCTTTATGTAGGTTTCCTTAGATCCTACTCCTCAAAATTTCCTTTACTTAATTCTTAACAGCTTCTTAATTAAAATTCTTATTTTTACTTGCCCTACATCTAAATTGGATTATTCATAATCACTTAACCTGGGTACATGTGAACAATTTAGATTTTGTTCCTATCTATAATAATCTAGCAATTTATTAACAGCATATTTATTTTCCCTTGTATGGAAATTGAGTGGCAATTTCAATGGTATATTAGCACCCCACAGACAAAATTTAAAGCACAGTTAATACTTGTTTATGTTGTCTTACTTTGAAAACTGACTCCATTTTTGTGCAGTGGGTTTAGTGGTCTATTCAGTGTTTTTCATTTACATGTTCACGTTTTTTTTGTTGGTGGTTTGCCACTAAGACGCAGGGGTGCATGAGAAAAGGGTTACATAAGCCTTTGTGTTCCCCTACGCACAGCTGACAATGAAGGCAATGTTCCAAATTCTAAATTATCTCATTGTGCAAAACTGATTATTAATTTTAATTAAAATCAGTATTGTTTTGGCAATATATATATTTTTGCTGTTCTGTTATGTGCGATAGATTTACTTTCTGGTCTGGATTATGAAACCAGGAGTATCGTTCTCCCTGCTTGTATTCATATGGAACATATTTTTATTCCTTCTTTATAACATCAGGGGCATGAATGTCATAAGATGAACAATGCATCCTAGTTGCTACACTTAACTTTCCTTTACAAATGGTTGACAACTTGACTCTCTTCAACCACAATTGAAATTTATCAAATGTTCAAGGAGGAAAATACTGCCAGGAGAACAGAGCTCCATGAGTCTATTATGTTAAAAATGAATTGAGCTAGAAAAGTCTGCCTTTTTATCACATTCTTCAAACCTAAGTGTCTTACTCTGACAAGCAAATAGCTTTGGAGACAGTCAGAAACTAAGTGGAACAACGACCTTTCTTTAATGTGGCTTGCCAGTCAGAAAGTGCTTTAAAAGCATGAACCCAAAAGAAATAGCTAGCTGACTTGTAACTATATATTCTTCAAAGACGCTAGTACCCATTGAGCAAGAAACTGCTGCAGCTGAATGACCTTCCCATTTCAATCATTAATCAGCAGCACCAATGTTAAAGCAGTTGATGTTGGTATTTTTAATCTGTAGGACTATTGCAACATCCATGCAACCCTGGCTTAATGTTTTGTGAAGTTACGCTAACATGGCTGCTAACATAACCCAACCCTGAGGAGTTTTCTGGTTTGGTGCAATATGATCTAGCTGCTAGTGCAGCAAGTACAGTAACATAATGAAGTGGCCAGTTAGCCACTGCATTTTCTGTTGTGGCTTGACAAATTCCTTCCCCAGTCCCCTTGTTCTTGCATTCCTAAGGCAGGCAACAAAGCTGGGCCTCTGTTGAGTTGCCACCCCTGGCTAACGGGGATGTGTTCACTTTGGTGAACTGTAAGCTGTAAAGCACCTATTCTCAGGGCAAGTGTGTTTTTGTTAAAATCTGGGGACAAAGCAAAATGAGATCAAGCTCTGACGTCTGTAGCTCCCTATGCTTATGTTACCTAATTAAACGACCAATGAACATACAAACTTTGAGATTTAGCAAAGTGTACTCACAGATTTGGACATTTCAGCATTAATTTGTTTCCAAACTTGCAAAGTGTCCCATTGATTTCACTGGAACTTCCACATGATGAACATACAATGGTACCTCGGGTTAAGTACTTAATTCGTTCTGGAGATCCGTTCTTAACCTGAAACTGTTCTTAACCTGGAGACCACTTTCGCTAATGGGGCCTCCTGCTGCCACCGGAGCACGATTTCTGTTCTCATCCTGAAGCAAAGTTCTTAACCTGAGGTACTATTTCTAGGTTAGCAGACTCTGTAACCTGAAGCGTATGTAACCCGAGGTACCACTGTAGTATATTTGGGAGTTCAGCACTGGAATGTCCTGTAGATTTCAGTGGGAGGGTTAAGCACAATGTTATCCCTACCCAACTGAAATCAATGAAATGCTGATAGGCCTATGACCCTCAGAAATCCAGTTCCTTTCAGTGGAAGTTGTATTCAAGTAACCACACTTGTGATGCATCTTTGATTTAAATGTGATCTAAGTACAGTGGTGCCCCGCAAGACGAACGCCTTGCAAGACGGAAAACCTGCTAGACGAAAGGGTTTTCCGTTTTGGAGGCGCTTCGCAAAACGAATTTCCCTATGGGCTTCCTTCGCAAGACGAAAGCCCATAGGGAAATCTCCGGGACAGCGGGGAAGCGCAGCGCGTCTGTCCTGGACCTCTTCTGAAGGCCGGCGGGGGGCGAAAGTCTTTGCTCCCCCCTGCCTGCCTTCCCGGGAGAGCGGAGATATGCAGCGTGTTTCTCCGCTGTCCCGGAGGGCTTTTGAAGGCAGGCGGGGGGGAGCATAGACTTTCGCCCCCCGCCCGCCTTCAGAAGAGGTCCTGGACCTCTTCTGAAGGCCGGCGGGGGGCGAAAGTCTTTGCTCCCCCCTGCCTGCCTTCCCGGGAGAGCGAAGAAATGCAGCGTGTTTCTCCGCTGTCCCGGACGGCTTTTGAAGGCAGGCGGGGGGGAGCAAAGACTTTCGCACCCCGCCCGCCTTCAGAAGAGGTCCTGGACCTCTTCTGAAGGCCGGCGGGGGGCAAAAGCCTTTGTCTCCCCTGTCTGCCTTCCCGGGGGCTTTTAAATCGCCCCGGGACAGCGGAGAAGTCCCCCGCTGTCCCGGGGCTTTTTAAAATGCTGGCGGGCAGCAGCAGAGGCTTCGCTCCCGCCCGCCAGCATTTTAAGATCGCCCCGGACAGCGGAGAAGTCCCCCGCTGTCCCGGGGTTTTTTAAAATGCTGGGGGTGGGAAGAAAAGCCCTTGGTCCCCCCCCCAGCCTTCAGAAGAGGTCTGGGGACAGACTGTCCCCGGACCTGGTCTGAAGTCGGTTTCCATAGGAACGCATTAATTGATTTTCAATGCATTCCTATGGGAAACCGTGCTTCGCAAGACGGAAAAATCGCAAGACGACAAAACTTGCGGAACGAATTAATTTCGTCTTGCGAGGCACCACTGTACACCTACCTTTCACTGAATCTGGTCCCCTGGGTCAAGTATAAAAATATTACTGTCTATTTCAGTACTGCTTATTTGTTCCAGTTTGACTCTCTCACCAATATTCTGACACACCATATATCCGCACAAAGGCAAGCAACATCTTGCCTTAATTTTTAGTGATTCTAGTGATATTTATTAAAACTCCACAATTATTGCCCCATGTAACTAAGCAGAAATAGAGAAGTCAGCCTCTGATGTAAAGGGACATGTATTTAATCAGAGAGAAGTGGGTTTTTTCAGAGCAGTAAAGCCCTATTAAAATCTTGCCATTAATTAAAAAAATCTTTGACACAGATAGTTTACTGCCACATGTTCAGTGTTGTGAAACTGGTACTCCATGTTTTAGCTGTTTAGAAAAAACTGTGGCGATCACACAGGGTCCCCGGATGTTTGACGGTCTATTGATCCCTGTGCCACCACTGTGATTGCTTTCCCACTGCCACCAACCCGCTTCTCTCGGGTACACACAGAGTCCAGACAGTTGTTAACATTAAATCAAATAAGCAAGTTTATTTTATAAGCCTTAACAAGTTTATGGTTTCAGATAATTTTTCTTGTCAGTTTCTTAATCTTAGTTTTCTATACCTATACCTTTCCCAATAACTGCTAACTGATTATCCCAACTGTCTATCCGACTCCTATCAGTTTCTCTCTCACACACACAACACAACTCGACCAACCCACAGGCTTATCCTCCCTCTTCCTTCTCCAACTCCCAACTGACTTCTCAACAACACTAACTCTAACTCCTCCCCTTGGGTTCCCACTGGCCAATCACTTCACACCCATTTAACCCTTTCCTTATGACCCAGCATGATGTCACCTAGGAGGGCAAACGCCACAAAAACCCTTAAAAAAAAACATGGAAAAAGTATAGAGACAGCAGGTTGGATCAAAACTAGCTAATTGAACTTAAGTACTATTGAAATGCGGGACGCGGGTGGCGCTGTGGGTAAAACCTCAGCGCCTAGGACTTGCAGATCGTATGGTCGGCGGTTCGAATCCCTGCGGCGGGGTGCGCTCCTGTCGTTCGGTCCCAGCACCTGCCAACCTAGTAGTTTGAAAGCACCCCCGGGTGCAAGTAGATAAATAGGGACCGCTTACCAGCGGGAAGGTAAACGGCGTTCCGTGTGCTGTGCTGGCTCGCCAGATGCAGCTTGTCATGCTGGCCACGTGACCCGGAAGTGTCTGCGGACAGCGCTGGCTCCCGGCCTATAGAGTGAGATGAGCGCACAACCCTAGAGTCTGTCAAGACTGGCCCGTATGGGCAGGGGTACCTTTACCTTTACCTTTACTATTGAAATAATTGTGACACCTTAGTCATGACTTAAAGGCCAATTGATTTCACTGGGAACCGAGCACATTACTTAAGTCTGGATCCACCTAAAGGACATTCTTGGCTAAGAAGCTCAAACATTATCATCATCAAACCTTTTATTGGCATCACATAAAAACATCCATGGCAAATCAATACAGAATTACCACCTCCCCAATGTCACAGAACATTTGTCAACTGAAAAGAGGCAAAACAGTCTAACGTTACATCTCTAGGTCTCCAGGGAGATCAGACATCTGCAATGTGTTTCTGGGACAAAAAACCAAATAGAGATACTTAGCCACTAACTTGGTGAGCTCCTGATCATTCCCCAGTAATAGACAATGTATGACCTCCAACTCTGGTTTCCATTTGGGGATGCAGAGTTGATCTAGAAACTGCTGGCAGAGATCAGCATATAGTTTACATTTAAGAACCATATGAGTAAGAGTTTCCAGCAGGTGGTCTTCACATGGGCGAATTCTTTCTCCTTCCACCACTCCCGAGAACCTTCCTCAAAGGAGGTTTGATGGATTTGAATTAAACCTGGCCATCGAAAATGCCCTTCTTTTTTGAGGGATAAACAGAAATTCAAGATAATTGTGATTAATTTCATATGCCCAAGAAAGTTGAAAGTAAAAAGGGGAACAAGTTTTCTCTGCTGCTGCTGTTAGTTCCTGGTGTTCAATCTCCCACAACCTAGTTTTTATTATAGCCTTGACAGATGATGGGGGCATCGATCGCAAAAGTTCCATTGACAGTCCAAGTTGCTGTACCTTTATGTTAAACTGTTGTAGCCCTGGGGAAAGAAAGGGGTCTGACAAGACTTCGCTAAGGAGAGAATCTTTGTCTAATGTGAGGTAGATGTTTAACCAACGTAGAAGAAATCTCGCCCAGGCAACGGTCTCTATCTTGTGTTGCCCTCCCTCTAGACACAAGGCTGCATAGGGTACACAACGTGTGATAGCAAAAATCTTAAAAAGGAAAGCTGCCTGCACTTGTTCTACCAGCTGGGTAAACCCTGGCAGCCAAACTAGGATTCCATAGAGCAATCGAGCTATAATTTTGGCGTTGAAGACCTTGAGGGCAGAGGGGATATACGAATTACCTCGTTATGAAAAACCGCATTATGGCCTGCATAGACATCTTACTGGCATTCACCACGGTGCACGGTGTGAGGACCATAGAAGCCTATGATGGAATGTAATTCCCAGATAGTTAAATTCAAATACCTACTGGATGGTTTTTCCACCAAATACCCAGCTATTGCTCTTGTGTGAATTCCCAAAAACCATTATTTTGCTTTTATCAAAGTTCATGCACAGTTTCATTCTGGACAGATGGTCAATACAGGAATTTAACAATAGTTTTAGGCCAATTCTTGTCCGTGAAAGCAAAATCATGTCATCTGCGTATAGGAGGATGGGAATGCTTGATGCGTTGAGTTTTGGGCTATGGGCATCTACCTGTTTTAATGACGAAGTAAGGTCGTTAAGAAAAAGACTGAAAAAAGAGGGAGCCCTGCTTTACTCCTCGGTTTATAATGACAGCATCTGTCATTACATTCCCTGGTGGTGGTCTTATACGACAGGTGTTCTTTGTATAAAGCTTTTTGATCGAGTATAGTAATCTAGGTTCTAGGCCCATTGTCTCCAATTTGGTCCATAACAGTCCCCTGTCAATAGTGTCAAAAGCAGCCTTGTTATCTAGGAAGGCCACATAAAAACATTCTTTATGAAGCCGCGTGTACTTAGCGACTAAGTGAGATAACACCATGCAGTTGTGTAAAGTGGATTTCCCTTGCCTAAACCCTGCCTGCTCTGGACCTATGATGTTATTTTCATCAAGCCAAGTAGTTAGTTTATTTAGCAGATGTTTAGTGTACAATTTCCCGATGTTTGACAATAGACTTATTGGCCGATAGTTGGATGGCAGCTTTTGTCACCCTTTTTAAATATTAGGATAATTATAGATTGCTGCCATGAGTTAGGCATGATACCAGATCTATCTATCACAGTGAATAGATCTACTAGTATCGGTGCCCACCACTCTGACTTGGCTTTGATCAGTTCAGATGGAATAGCATCAGGGCCGGCAGCCTTTCCTGCTTTCATCTGATCAATTAAACTTGTAACTTCGATAATAGAGACAGGGGGCCAGTCATCCGTGAAAGTAAAAATGGCATGGTCCTGACTGTCAGGTGGAATACAGTCATTGAAGAAAACTGCCTTGAAATGCCTCTACCCATGACAAAGATGGAATCAATGTCAGCGAATCATCCTGTGTCTGTGGGGAGTCTGCTACAGCCTTCCAAAATTTCTTAGGATTTTTCGTTAGGATGGCTAAGAGTAGCGTATCCCAACATGCTTGATCATATCTTATCTGGCTAAGCTGGATAGTTTCCCTGAGTTGTCGGGATCTGGAGAAGTAAATGTCAGGCAATCGACTGACAATAAAAATGCTTGAAAGCTGCTTCAGATAAACATTAACCCATTTGTTTTTGTCTTTCCAGGCACGCCTTCCTCCTCCTCCTCTGTGGAAAATATATTGCTCTTCAACAGTTCACCACTGGGCCCAGATGCACCTCAGATAGAGGATTTGAAATGGCACTCAGCTTTCTTCAGAAAGCAAATGGGCATGTCATTGAGTCACTCTTTGAAAAAAACACAGAAGAGAGAGCGGATGAGGAGGAGCTCTGGGCATGATGACAAATCTTTACTCAAGCAGCCCAGCCAAAGGGAAGGCTTTGCAACTCCCAGTAGCTTTTTCAGTTTTGAAAAGACCTTTGCAGAAGCACAAATTGGATCAGCACAACAGAAGAATGGAGTTGCTATAGCAGACCACAGGAAGAGAAGAGACAATCATTCCCATTGTGATGTGATGAAGGTAGGACTGAAGGAGAAACCTTCTAAACACAACCACAAACCCCTGAGATCCAACGAACTGTCTCAGAGGCAGTTAGAAAACAAAAGGGCTGTGAACCACCCGAGTGGCAGGTCAGCGCCCGGAACCCGGAGGGATATAGTGCCTAAATGCAATGGATCTTTTTTCAAAATAAACTATAATCCAACTCCGGTTAAAGTGCCTACGACACCCAGAAGCCCTGTGAAAAACTGGGGAGGATTTCGAATTCCAAAGAAAGGAGAAAGACAACAGCAGGGAGAAGGGCAAGATGAGATGTGCCGCCAAAACTCTAACTATCCTTACTCGGGCCTGGGTCGAGTTTCCCCTAAAGATAGGGCCAAAAGCAACCTAAAGGTGGACAGCGAGAATGACGGGTACGCCCCTGATGCTGAGATGAGCGATTCAGAAACTGAGATGGCTGAGAAGAAATGCAGGCAACAAAGGCTCAGTTCAAATAGCACTATTCCTAGGAGGACAGATATCATTAGGAGAAGCATCCTTGCCTCCTGACTAGAGAGTGAGACACAATAGCAGCACTGGAGTCGGTGAAGCCCCAGCCTGGAAAAATTATCCACTCTGCATTATTTATTGGTGTGACAAGGAGGGGGGGTCCTTACACATGGCTACAATATAAGCCAACAGTGAGCCTGTTTTTTCCGGGCTGTAGAAATATGTTTACGTGCACTTGACTAAGAGTTTGTCCTCCACCCGTCATGTCCGTGAGATTACAACCTTCTTTATTTGCAACTTTCCTGAAGAAATCACCTGAGAAGATGACCTTGCTATGCCAATTGCTCAATAAGATGAATACAAATTAAAAGATGAAATAAATGGGGGGTAGATTTGGATGGGGAAACCGATTTAGGTGGATAGCACTGAGGATTTTCTTCTGTCTGAAAAGCACAAGCTGTTAGTACACAAGGATAATTTACAATGGTGGTTATAATCACCCTGCACCGCATCGTCCACTCTAAATTGTCACTTTCATGATGCTGTGCTAGGACTAAGCCCTGGTAGTCTGCAATTTTTGTTGTTTTAGAATTCAGGGTGGTGGTGGGGTTTTTTTGGCAGCTTTATGAACCCCGGAAGAGTTTTCACAAAAGCCCATCAAGCAGGTAAGAGGAATTTACCATGACTACTAAGATACCTGAAGGGATAGAACCAAGCTGACCAATTGTGAAAACAGTAGCAGCACAGTGCTATTCTGAAGGAACTCAGACTAAGAGTATGAAAACTACTCAGCTCCTCAAATTTGAAGAGTATGTCTTAAAAGTACTTTTTATCTTGTTCTGAGAAGGCAGGCAGATTTGTAGCCTGCTATATTCTGCTGGCACTGCCCATCCGAAATATGATGACAATTCAAGTGGGAAAGACTCAGTGCGTCTACACTGCAAATAGTAAATAGTTTTTGCTGTCATGGTTCCCATCCTTCCTTGTCTGCTCCCCACCCCACCCTGAGAATTGTAACTCTCTGATGGGCAACAGATTTTTCAGTAACTCATTCTCAGCATCTCATCACACAATTCCCAGGTTTTTGGGGAGAAGCCATGACAGGTAAACAGGCTGAAATTTGCTATGAAGATATGCCCATGTTTCTAAAGGCACTAGTCAGCAGCCTTTCCCAATGTGCACTAATGGTATGTGTTGGGATATGCAATTTTCTGACACACAAGGGTTACTTTAAATAAAAAGAGAAGGATGTAATAAATATATATATATATTTTGAATACAATGGAAGGCAATAAGATGTGAGTAGCGCTTTACATTCAAGCCAATTTAACAACATGATTTTATGATAAGGATTAGATTTGACCATGGAGGGGCTTGTGTTCGGATTACATCATTTTAAGAATTGCAATAACTAATGAGAGTAAGCCATCAGCAATAAGATGAACAGATCGTTCAGACTCTTTTTTCCTTTTTTTTGCACCCATAGAGTGTGTGTCTCTATCGCGAGTGCATCTATAATACACATAACGTAGTTTTAGGCTGCAGTAACTTTGGGGACTGAACTTTGATGTAAAATCAGACATAACCTAGTTATAAGAAAGTTCAAGCAGCTGTAGGTGTTTTTAAAAAAACAAAAATGGACAGCCCTCCCCCCAGTCCATCAACAGCGGTATTTAGCTACTTCACTCACAAGAAGTGGGTTTACAACTATGAAAGAAATGTTGAAGCCTTGCAATTTGACTTGAGTCTTCCAGGGGTTTCAACTGAGAACTGGATTGCTGCTGTTCCATCTTGCTATGCAAGTCACTGAATGATCAAAAAACTGCTTGGGGAGGTTGACACAGTACATGTTCCTTACATGCAAGCAGCCCTGGCCTTCTCCACTTGGAAAAATGTAATGTGTGTACCTGTGAATCAGATATATTTAGTAGGAGTTTGCATGATGTATTTTGGGAACCAGCCCTCAGAATTCATTCCTATTTGCTTCTGGAACAGAGGTCATAATCCTAAAATAAACTAAAACAAATAAACCCTTTGAGATTTAGAAATTAGTTGTGGGCTCACATCATCTCAATTTACTCTTGGCTCCTCTCAGTTTCTTGTTTGGCACTGCCCATATTTACAATATTGCTTGTACTAGAATCAGAAACCACACTTGCAAGTGGGGCTTCCAAATCTAGTTTGGAGGGCAAATTTCAGGTGTTAAACAGCAAACTGGTTTGTGCTTAAACAGGCAGCTGAAAGGGGATCCATGTGTGGGAGGGAAGGGAAATGTGCAACTTTGTGGTTTGTACATGATTTTACAAACAAATGTTTGGAGGCGCATCTGAAGTGAGCCTTAATGTAAGAGCCCTACACTAGCAGCTGCTGTTTGCACACTGGAGTTTTAGCGCATGCACAGAACTTCACACAGGTAGGGGCTGTTGCAAGTGCTTAACCAGAGGAATTCTCCAGAAGTGAAGTAAATAGAACAAGTCCCTCCTGCACACCTCTATTCTCAGTGTACTCCATGCCTAGCTTTGGATCAGAATAAGATTAAGACACTGAGGCCTTGATTCTTAACGTGATCAAGATAGTGACAACAATTTAGGATATTGGAAATGAAAAAAATAGTGATATGAAAGATGTAGTTTTATAAGGCTTTATTGCTTCTGATTAAACTACTCATATCTTATAGGTATGTTGACCAGGTTTGCTGCTTTAAAAGCAGACATGTTCTTGTTAAAATATGGGGAAAGAGGGACGTGATTAATTTACTTTTCAATACAGTAAGTGTTTTGGGTGAGGGTTGAGTGAAATATCAGTTAGCCTGCCCTGTAAGGGTGTTGTTCATCAAGCCATAGAAGGAATAAAATAAATTTGATTATAAGTAAACATTATTCAATGTTATGACTTATTTTGAAAGAAATATCATAACATTTGCACTATTAGGAATGATAGCATTTGTGCAGAACAATGCCTTACCTGTTTTGCTCCCCACCATGTTTAGGTTAATAAGCTTTCTGATTTTGAATAATGCTGAACCAAAAATTAAGAAAAACAAAAGAGAAAAATAAATTGTGCTTTCCCCCATAACTGCAGAAATATGGGAAAACATCAGTATGACTAACTGTACAAGTTCCATGCTACTCTAAGCACTCAGCAAGAGAAAAATAAAATAAAATAAAGCAGTAATCCTTACCTACTACTGCATTCATTTTGTTAATATGGAAACAGCTGTTATTTCTTGTTAGGTTTCACCTTTTTCCTTATGCAGAATGCCCAAGACATTTCTTGATTTTGATTGGTGCACTACATTGAAATGTAGGCTTAATAAACCCTTCAGTAATGACCTGGAATGCTATCTGTTAGGTTTTGGGGATGGACACACACACTCCCTAAATGAATGGAACGTTATACATGTCTCATGTGTACAAATATTATTTAAAAAAACTTTAAAAAACTTTCATTACTACATTTGTAAAACCCTGTACAGAGGATTTTTCACTATGTGCCTAGCTTTGGTGTCCATTTTGCTCAAATTTGAAAACAGGTGCATGATGACAAAAAAAGATAGAATCAGAAATAAAGTATATGTAGAGATGACTATTTTATATTACATGGCCCAATCCTGTATTTATTTTCCTCCCTTTTTGAAGTATTTATAAAGACCTAGTTGAAGATGGCTGTATTTTTTTGTTAAAATATTTAGTAGAATTGTGCCTTTGTCTGTATGTGAATAAATGCTGTACATTTTGCAATACACGTCAAGTGTTATGATTTGGCATCTATGCTGCTACTTCCACAAGATTCCAGAAGCAGAAAGCTTTTCAGCTAGACTTACTCTTGCAACTTGTGCCAAGGTGGCCCATCACTTTCCATCCCTACTTGGTGGAAATGCTAGGAGTCTGGATTTTCTCTTTGCTCTTGGATCTAATCTGCTACTGAGGATTCCCCCTTCTCTGTTCATCTCCGTAGACTAAGGATGTACAATAACTCATCTCCTTCCTACAGTTCTTTTTTCTCCAACCCATCTCAGTGAAGCTGGCCTTGGCTTGCTGCCACCTCTTTGCTCTCTTGTCTCACATTCCTTCCTACTCTCACTTCAGTGACTCATGCTTACTCCATACATTTTACAAGGCAATCTCTCCCCTTTTATTGTATTGTAAGCAGCTTTCTTTCTCAATGAAATTGTGAAATTTAACCATTCTTTTCCCCTCCTTTAAGTACCCACCATGGTACTCCACTATATAGACCCAGCTCTTGCCAATTTGGCTAAGGTGCCAGTTTTCTGAGGCAGCTCTACCAGATAACAGCCTGCACTCCAGCAGAAATAGAGCCCAAGGTTGCAGAAGGCCAAAGTTTCCCTATCATGATGCTAAATTCCTTCCCATTCACTCATTTCTGAGAGGCTAATTCCAAGCCAAGTTACTCATATATGTGTGCATTGGAAACATGTCTCAAGCCATAATGCTAAAAGCCCTTTTGATTCTTTGGTAGTTCCTACATTATAAACATGGAAATGCAATAGTATTCTGAATCCTGTAAATAACATCTTTGAAGTATTCATCTGTAATAGGAACAGTCTGTATATCCACAAGAATTTGGGGAACCAGAAGAGTAGTCTTACTGGTGTCAATTAACATCTAAGGAATAAAAGTAAAAAAATAAATACAATAGCAATTTTACAAAGGCCAATTTGTTTTCAAATTCAACACCTTACACGGGGGAAAAATAGTTTTAAAATGTTGAGTTTATTAACACAACATTAGGTACTGTCAGTTGTAAAAAACCTTAAAATTCAGCAATTGTGTATTTCAAACTTTGTGGCAAAGTTTTCTACCATAAAACAAAACATGTTATATAAGGCAATCCACCTTTCCATCTAGCTTTAATTGACTTCAATATGTATTTGCAGTTACCCACTTAATGTTTATTGTGAAGAAGCCACAGTGATTCTCTTCTCGGGTAACAGTGATGCACATTTTTATAGAAGTCACTTTGTGCATGATATGTCCTAATGCTGCTCTTCAGCAGCCTCAACTTACATGTTGCATGGAAGAACAATATATTACTTTCAAGTATTTTCCAACTCTATCAAGGAGGCAGCCTTTTTCCTCTGCATTGTAATTGCACTGAGCTGTAATTAAAACAAAACAAAACAATAATTTGTTTCTTCAGTAGGAATCTTTAAACTAATTGGATTATAATGCAAGCTGAAGTACAGATAAAGTGAGGGAATTATTTTATTCTGCTTCTACAATATACTTAAGGTGTGTGTGTGTGTGTGTGTGTGTGTGTGTGTGTGTGCGTGTGTATGTATGTATATATATGATTCCTAAGTTTTTTTCTGAATAGTTTATCGAGTGAAAGCGACCTTCATTATGAATACATAGCGGAATTGCACAGTTGCCAGTTTTAAGAGTTGCATACCACACTTCATAGATCTTGGGATAAAAATCACCGCATAAAAATAAAAGATAAAAGCACAAAATGCATAATACAAATAAGAACAAACCAATAACTTCCCATCCTGTCCCCACGTACAGCTGAACTTTCTTACATGCAGATGTTTTGACTTTCATCCCAACAGAGAAAACTGAAACACTAATTTGGTTAAGACTCTGATTCAGCTCTTCATTAAATGATCCAGTTTGAAGGCTGCCCAGTTCAAAGTGTTGGTGCTGACCTCTAAAGCCCTAAGCTGCCTCAGCCCATTATACCTGAAGGAGCGTCTCCACCCCCATCGTTCAGCCCAGACACTGAGGTCCAGCTCCGAGGGCCCTCAGGCGGTTCCCTCACTGTGCGAAGTAAAGTTACAGGGAACCAGGCAAAGAGCCTTCTCGGTAGTGGTGCCCGCCCTGTGGAACATCCACCCATCAGATGTCAAGGAGATAAACAACTATCTGACTTTTAGAAGACATCTGAAGGCAGCCCTGTATAGGGAAGTTTTTAATGGTTATTTTTTTGTGTTTAAAATATTTTGTTGAACTGTCCAGAGTGGCTGGGGCAAACCAGTCAGATGGGCGGCATATAAATAATAAAATTATTATGATTAAAGATTTTTGGTTATGCAGCTGTAATAAGGGTGCTGATCTGATTTATTTCTAGATACCTGTTGAGATGCTGTGGTTGCCCTCTCTTCTGCCTGGCTTAGTCGCCTTTGAAGTCTGTTGACTTTCTCTTGATGTTCCATCATTAATTTTTCATTCTGTATAAATGAAATAGCTCATTACAAATTTAAGTTTCTGTTATCAGATCATACATATTTCAGGAAACAAGGTTTAAGGAAGAGAAACTTGGTGAATGGCAAAGCCAGGAACCGACTAACAAAGGCAAACAAGGCAGGTTGCTCCTATGCATTGTGTCTAACCTTGACAGGGATTTCCAGTCTTCGGAATCTCATGACGCAACTCTTATATAAAAAACATAATTTTAAGGAAGTTACAAGTACAAATTTCAACAGGGAAGGGGTGGTGCTGGACTCCTGAGATGCTTCAATCAGTTGGCCTTCAAAGGAAAGTAAGGACAGATGATAGGCTGTCCAAAGAGGCAGAACTATGAAGATCAGTACTTAGGAGGGCTAATTGTGACAGAATATTTTTTAGTTGTTACAAAAATTGAACCAGCCATTGCAGAAAGAAATGACAAGCTAAAGATCACAGAAAGGAACCATTACCTAGTAAAAAAAATTAACAGCTCAAAATTAGCTATGAACGAAGTTGTATGTTTTAATAATAGTAAAATAAATGTTTCTAGCATTTTCCCCAGTGTGTATGATCACAAATGGGACAGTTTTCCAGCTGAAAACTACTCTAAGCAAACAAATGATGTGTACCAAGAGAGTTCAAGTTAGACAAGATGTACATCTAGTTAAAGCACAGCATTTGGACGGGGACCATTCTCTTACCTCAATAACCTTTTCATTTGTTCTTTCCAGCTGACAAAGTACCTCCTGGGTGTAAATTTTTTGACGGCTCAGCTCACTTCTATGAAACAAGATCAAAGAAACTCATTAATGAAAGTCAACATATATGTTGACCTAACTCATTTCCAGAGGTATATGGGACAATCATATATTCTTCCCTCTTTCAAATTCCTTCTTTCCAATGAAGTAGGGAAAGGATAGTACTTTAAGATACCAATAATGGCCATCTTTAGTATTGTGACAGTACTGTGATAGGACAGAATCACAATGAAGAGCAAAACAACAACAATTCCGAAACCTTACTTTTAACAAAAATCTAAAATGTCATTCATTCACAAAAATAAACACTTTTCATTAAGGAAGGGGATTTGTGGATTTCCAGGTGTTGGACTATAGCTCTAATCATCCCTGACCGCTGGCCATGCTGGCTGGGCTAATGGGTATTGGAATCCAACAGCTGGAATGCCACATCCCTGCTTAATGTGATAAAATAAGCAATATAATCCTATGGACGGTGTCCATCAAGTATTAACCTGGATACCACTTATGTCAGTCTCCCTACAGGCACACATGGGATCCTGGGCAAAGCTGTACCTTCCAGAGCTAAAAAATGGGAGCAAACAGTCCACTAAACTCAAGGAAGATGTCTGTTGACTGTGCACGGTTCTAGAGAGTGCACATGCCTTCCCACTCAGTTTTCTTCTCATCAAAGTCTGAGTAGCAACTCAGTTTTTGTTGTACAGCTAGTTTGGAGGCATTTTAATTTTCATAACTAGCTATGGTTGGTTGTCTTATTCTTCGTATTGAGCAAAGTAGCTCCTGCAAAAAGATGCACACTGTGTACAGGAAATCTTTACCTCTGGCCCTGGCATCTTGTACCACTGAGCAAATGCCGAAAGTCCAGCCTACTACCTCAAATTTATTAAAGAAGCTTGTAGAAATAGAACACCCTATCTCTGTGAACAGGCTTGCAAGCTTGAGAATGAGGCACCCCAAGCCCTTCTCCTGCAATGGATCTTGTCCCAAACACTGGTTTGTCTGACCCATGGTTTCAACTGCCCTACAAACGGGAGGATGTGCAGCTTTTGATGAATAATGCATTTTTCACACCCATGGAATACTGAAAGGAACAATGTGTTATAGGAGTGCAGGAAAAATCTACGCAGGCACACCTCATGTGTTATTTTCTATGTGTTTCCAAGATCTACAAACGGGAGAATCCTAGAAACCACACTGTCTTGGGCTCTAGGACTCTCATAGCATTGTTGTCTGTATTGGCAAAACCTATTTGGTGTTTCGCAACTTTCTGACTAGTTGCAGGACTTTAGCCAGACCTAGCAGAGTAAACGCAGAGTTCACGAAAGCAATTGGCAACTTGGCTGCAGACAGGATGGACGAAGCAGGAACCAGGAACTTGTAGTTAGGTGTTTATTATATACAGTGGACTATTTACAGGAACAGAACATGGATCTTTTGCTAGCTCTCTCACAACTCTCAACCTCCACACTGACATGCTGAACCACTGAACTAACACTTTCCAGTTAGTAGGCCATTAATCATTACTCCCTTGAGAGAGCTTGACCAATCATGGAGCTGTTTCCATGCCTCTCTATCACCAGACAGACTTACTCCTCTACATTGCCTTGGCTGTCTGCCAAACCTTAATTGACTCTGTGTGAGTAGCTGCACGTACAGTGGTACCTCGGGTTAAGTATTTAATTCGTTCTGGAGGTCCGTTCTTAACCTGAAACTGTTCTTAACCTGAAGCACCACTTTAGCTAATGGGACCTCCTGCTGCTGCCGCACCGCCACAGCACGATTTCTGTTCTCAACCTGA